TGATATTGAGTCTTACTGAGTGATATGGAGTGATATTGAGTCATATTAAGTGATTGAGTAATATGGAGTGATATTGAGTCATATGGAGTCATATGGAGTGATGGAGTGTTTTCCTATGACCAGGTTTAACTAGCAGGAGTCGCTGTTTCACCCGTCCCGAGAGCGCCTCCTAACTGTTAAATCTGTTTTATCCTTAAACTCTGATATTACACACTTAAGGGTGTGATGCAGTACTAATACACCTGCCGTATTATCATTACAATGGCACATGAAACATTAAATGACACACATGAGCTGTACCTGATTTTGGACAGATGTTTAAACTCGAGGCCGGTGCAGAGTGTGTGTCCGTCCGTCATCTGCACGCGGAGCATTCTGGGGGCCGCCTGCGACTCCTCATGGTCTTTAGAAGCAGCCACATTACGAATCTTCTGCACCTGGAGGACACACGGACCCTCCAACTGTGGGAGAACACAGGGATCTTGCATTATACACACAGAAAAACCACTAAAAGCTAAAACGCATGTAATAATGCATCATGAGAGTCAATTGTTGTAACAGAAAAACAGCTCACAGTCATTATTAAGCATAATCGTCACGTACTTTTGGTGTGTTTTACCTTATTTTTACCCTTTTGCTTTAACATTTATTTCCATTGAGTCCTGCTGATGTTCTCTTTAATAACAGCGCCATCTTGTGGGCAGTATTAGCAAGTGCATGATGTCTATTTATTTGCCAGACAATGTCTGTCATCTATGCACTATTCTGGATTTTTAGCTTAAATCCAATGGAAAAATCCTACTGATCGACACAAGTCAAGTCAGTTAACTTGAATACCTTTTCTATTCGGCCACTGTTGATGTCCGCCGGCAGAAAGCTCTTTCCTATGGGTCTCAGATCATTCTGTGGATTATATAACACTAGTATTATTCATGTTCTGTTTATCAAGGTGTGGCGGCTTCTATGGAGAGCCAAAACCTGAATTATACATCATCACAAATAGACAAAGAAACACAACTGGTTTATAAATGTGAGGCTTTTGAACACAATGACAAATATCGGTCTTACATTTAACGCTACTTGGATGATGTCAGTCAGTGATGTTTTCTCCTTCTCTGAAGAACTTTTACACTCCTCTATTCCTTCATCTGTAAGGTACCTGTGAAGAAAAGTGTGTTTGATTTACATTAATAATTTACATAATCATGGACCCAACCTGTATTCAGACTACTTTTAGATTACTTTTGACCTAGCTTGTTTATCACTTAAGATTTAAAGAGATAGTTCACCCAAAAATGAAAATAATACCATAATTTACTCAATGATCCCAAGCCATGTCATCATTTTTATCTAAAGACAGTAACAGAAAAATTACAATGACAATACCATATGTTAAGGCAAAGCCACTGTGCTTTTTATTTTCATGCATTATATTACTTTAATAACTTCAGACTAGTGGAAAGATCATCTAAAATACACACATTAGCATTTATTTTATTGCATTTTAGCTATTTGCATCTGTAGATTTCAATTACAATACATATGTGTAAAGGCCATGTGTTTTACCATAGTAATGTAAATTCAGTGAAAACACTAATGCATCAAAGTCCCATGGTATTAGCACTGGATACCATGGTAGTTGAATATAACACTCAGGCATGTGTGAGATGTAAAGCCAATTAACACATTAATAAACATAAAGCTGAAAGACGCTGTTCATTGTTTTTGAGACGTGTTTAATAAATAGAGATTGTGAAAGTTGATGTGACAGGCCGGACTGATTACAAGAGAATCGTTGAGAATCTTCATCAACTGATTATTACAATATCAGACATGACATTTATAATATATCATATGTATTATTAATAATTGACTGGTAATAGACTAGCAGTTAAAAATGTTGAACGTCGTGCTAATCATTTAGTCGCTATCTGCACCTAACAGCCAGAGACAATGAAATAAACTAATGAAGTGATATTAAGTGAACTTATAAACTCCAGCTAAAAGTCAAACGGAGTGAGTAGACGAATGTAAACATGAGTTAGCATCATTAGCATGTTAGCCGTTAGCACTCAGTAGAGACTCACCAGCCCTCTTCAATGAGCGCGGAGCTCAGATCGCACATCTTCACACAAACTGGCGAGCCTGTGAGGAATCACGCTGTGAAATATCGCTGGCTTCACATTCTGTGTTATTCGTGGTTCATTTCAACACCGTTTAGCTGCTCCTGTGATGGACAAAGACGGATAACGTCACGCGCAAACTTCCGGTACGTCACGGGTCAAAGTGGAGCGGCGCTGCTGACGTAGAGCTCAAATAATATTAATAATGTTAATCTAAAGCAAGAATGGTATGATTTACACTTGTAGTATATATACACTACCGTTCAAAATATGTTTTAATTGTTTTTTATATGAGTCTCTTCTGCTCATCAAGGCTGCATTTATTCGATCAAAAATACAGTAAAAACAGTGAAATATTATTATAGTTTAAAATAACTGTGAATAAATCATAAAGTGTTATGTAAACCTGTGATGAAAAAGCTGAATTTACTCATAACTCTGGTCTCCGGTCTCACATGATTCCAAGGATTTGATGCTCAAGAAACATTTATGATTATTATTAATGTTGAAAACAGTTGTGTAAAATTTATTTTCAGGATTCTTTCATGAATTGAAAGTTCAAAAGAACAGCGTTTATTTGACAGAGTCTTTTGTTACATTACAAATGTCATTACTTTCACTTTTTAATGTGTCTTTGCTGAAATAAATTAAAAAAAACATTTGAATGGTAGTTTATAATGTTACATGCTGCTCTTTTGAACTTTCTATTAAATGTATTAGATATATATACAGTGTTTTCAACACTGTATATATATATCTAATACATATTATTTTGTTGAGCATTTTGAGCTTCAACTGATGAAAATGTTAATTGTCCTTTATAAACCCGTCAGTTTGTCCTTCTAGAGATTAGCGAGAGTGAAATATTGTATGTGTGAAAGAATATGAAGGATTGTTTGTGATTATTAGTTAAATTAATACAGTATGTGCAAATTCACACACCTAAAAATCACCTCAATTGAGAATTGAGTTTAAAACAGACTGTTTTAAACAGTCACCGCCAATGGAACAAATGATCTCTTATAAATATTCCTCTTGGCAAGCGTTATACGTAGCCTGCGCCCCGAAGGAAGGATCTCAAAGCAGGAATGGAAGGGACGAGTCTGGTCTGAATATACTGATAATGCCCTTTTCTCCAAAAAAAATGTGAATAACTCTTGCAATGTGGTCTGTTTTTGGCCGATGATCTTATTTGCTTCATTGATTACTCGTGTTAGTTTATTCTTCTGTTTCGCTGTAAGACTACCATGAAACAATATTATAACTAAGTTAAAATACTTTCAATCATTGATCTATAAACAATGGTTAAGATCCTCCTTTCAATGTCAAAATTTCTTAACTTCCTAAGTAAACACTGTCTAGTGTTCTTATGTATAAAATCCACATTGTCTTGGAAGGAAAGTTTATCATCAATGACCTAGGTATTGAAAATTTGAGACTTGCTCTATCTTTACGCCTCCTATTTAACACAGATGTTATTTGCTAATTACATAAACTATAAGCTCAATTCATGAGTATAAATATATATTTAGAACATTTATATATATATATATATATATATATATATATATATGTATGGTCCTCGAATGTGCTCGAATATTTCACCATTTTCAGCCTTTTCACCGTTTGTATCACTCCACTTGTCTGTGTTTGCCCAACTTGCATTATTAATGGCGACAAGTGACTGTCTTTATGAGTGCACAATTGAACTTTAACTTAACAGATTAGTGCCAAAAATATTGATTAGATAACCTTAAAAAGAAACTAGTTGCTGAAACCAATCTTTAATGCTAATATATAAATTGCTCCTTTTCCTCTGGACACAAAATGATTGCACAGGTGTTTGATTGAAATAACATCTACAGTATGTAAAATATTTCTCCATATCACTATTCCTATTTGGAATATGTGATTGTGTATTGTCAACAATAAGCAGAAACATTTTGCATTTGCATCCAAGCGTGGATCATTCATTTCAACAGCTGTTGTTATACCCTTCAAACACCTTAAAATGCACAAATGTAGGTCTAAGAAATCCAAAAGAGGCAGAAATGGACATTTCATTTATACAGTGACCCTGTAGATAGATAGATAGATAGATGGATGGATGGATGGATGGATGGATGGATGGATGGATGGATGGATGGATGGATGGATGGATAGATAGATGGATAGATGGATAGATGGATAGATGGATATATGGATAGATGGATGGATGGATGGATGGATAGATAGATGGATAGATGGATAGATGGATATATGGATGGATGGATGGATGGATGGATGGATGGATGGATGGATGGATGGATGGATGGATGTGTGGGTTGCAGAGTCAGCAGTGTGTCCATCACTCAAACTAATAAAGTTGACATGCGGCTCTGAGGCCAGAATAGCTCTCACCTTTTCTACTTTATTTACACCATTAAGAATATTGGTCACTCTTTCTGTCTGCCATCTCCAATCTGTCCCGTTTCTGAGTCTCTTAAAATAGAAGCTGCGAAGGGCCGTAAGGATGAAACACTCGAGGAGCCGCAGTGGGCATCGTGGGAAATAAATCTCAGCATCCTCTTAAATAAATGAATTAAGTGGGCAATTTGCCTGGCCGACTCATCCCGCAAGCTCTACCGTTCTCCCACCTGCGTTCGGTGGGATTTATGAACTCGTCTGGATCACATCCCATCCCTGACGCACAGACCCGCATCTGTCTTTCGGGTTTATTGATACATTAATTTATCCTCTGTGAATTTACAAGCATGGGATATGTAAAAGGTGGGGAGGAGATGACATGGCCAGTGATGGAGAGTATATAAGTCCAGGACAAACACTTTGAGATGAGTCGCACAAGAGAGAGTTTGTGTATCTACGTGTCGTGTCATCATGATGTGTAAACTGTTTCTGTTTTTTGCCTTGCTTCTCACCGTCCTGGAGCCTCTACTGGGGCATCCGGTGGTCCATCCGGCAGAGATGAGCTTCACCAGGCCTGGTAAGTCTCTCTCACACACACTGATCCAACAACCTGAAAGCCATGTTAGTCTGAGCATACAATATACAAAATGTTGCATGTTCACAATTCAACAACCCAGAGCTGAGCATATCATAAGCATTCTTCAAGACTGAATTGTGATATCTGTCATTTTCATCTGTAGTTCTTGTAGAAGAGGAGCAGGCGGTCAGTCCAGAAGACCTGAGTTACTCGGAACAAGCGTATCTGTCCCAGGGTGCCGCGGGATTCGGTTACCCGTCCCTCATCACCGGAGACATCAGCAGTGATGGTGAGCTGTAGCTTTAAATATGATCTTTGTTGAAGCCAATATACACAGGACAACTTCAGTGCTTAGATCTTGCTTTTTTCATAGATGCTTCTCCTGAGGAGAAAGAATAAAAAGAGTTAGTTGTCATACAAGCTCAGATCGTTTGGTCTCAAGAGTTCATATTGAGAAACTCAAATGTGAGGTTACTGGGGTCTTTTTTCATTAAGGAAAAACATCTGAGAAATTAATTCATTGCTGTGTAGGAGAAGCAAATTGTAAACACTTAACAATTTGATGTTTTAACATTGGTTCAGTCATGACAACTCTCGGGATAGTTTTCAAAACATTTTATGAAAGCTACACTGAATTCCGTTTTTGTCAAACAGCGACACCTAGAGTACTTGTACTGTCGTAAATAACTAGTGGAAATAAGTTGTGGCCCCTATAACGTAGTAGTTCACTTTTAAAAAAAACTTTTGCTGATAATTTACTCACCCCCATTGTGCTTGGGGGTGACAAGATGTCCCTGTTACTCTTTCTTCAGTCGAAAAGAAATGAAGGTTTTTGATGAAAACGTTCCAGGATTTTTCTCCATATAATGGACTTCAATGGGGTCCAAACGGTTCAAGGTCCAAAAGACAGTTTCAGTGCAAACCGTTCAAAGGGCTTTTTTAAATTTCGTTCGTAGAATGAACCAAAGGATACCAAAAAAGATTTGTTCATTTTGATAAACGAGTTTGAACAGGAGAGTCACATCGTGCATCACAGAACAGAGCAAGGTGAGCATTTGAGCTTATAAAAGTAAACTTTGTTATTTTTTTTTTTTTTAAAATGAGCGATCGTTTCGCTTGATAAGACCCTTATTCATCGTCTGAAATTGTTAAAGCCCTTTAAAAAGTTTGACGTTTGCACTGAAACTGTCTTTTGGACCTTGAACCGTTTGGCTACCATTGAAGTCCATTATATGGAGAAAAATCTTGAAATGTTTTCATCAAAAACCTTAATTTTTCTCACGCGGTTAGTTTCTCGTTTCGTTTTTTCCTTGACTCTCCCGAGCCTGTGGTCACGTGACGTTGTAAAGCAATAGCCTACGTTCTCTAGGTCACATGACCTGGCCAAAGATGGTCCAAACTTGCATAGGCGGCCGGTATTTCAAGAGGGCAGCCCCGCTCGGAGCATTGATAGTGTCAAGCGCTGTATATTGCCCACACTTTTTCTTACATTAATCCCGTATTAAAGTACCTTAAACAGATGGGACTGCAACTCACTCTTTTCTGGCCTTATTCTTCTTTCTCACAGGCCTCAGAACAGCTGGATTTGTCCCGAGTCAAGCTGTAAAAGACGTGACTGACTTTATTGAAACCCTATCATCATTCAATATTATATCAAGAGACAGTGATGACGTTTTATTGAAATATATCTACTTATGTTTGTCGTTCAGGTCTTGCTGGAAAAGCAGTTGTTGAATCCTCTGAGTCGTTTCCTGGGCGGCAGAAAGCAGAACCGCAAGCGAGGCAGTAACACTGAGTGTTTCTGGAAATACTGTGTCTGAATCAGCCAGTGGGAAAACACTTACATGCTCCTGTGTGCATGCTGGTGTTCTCATGAGCTTTACATGTTGTTTTCAAAACTCGTGCACAAACTTTGTGGGCCTGGTGCACCAAAATTGCAAAAAATCATTTATGTTTGTAGGAAAAATAGCTGAAAATGTATTTGTACATACCTGCTCTTTAGCTTTGATGTAAATAAAGTAAATATGTTTAAGAAAATTGGCTTTGGATGTGTTCGTGTAAACGTGAAATACTTAAGACCGTTAAAAGCGACAAAATACAAAAGTGGATGAAAATGAGAAATTTGAGGATTATATACAAGTCATTATGGTTTTTTTTTTATTCATAGTTATCATGTGGTGTCAAAATATTTCCCTGAAGTTTAGACAAAATGGCTTTTTACATAATTCATTGTCTTTTGCACTTTTTATCCCCGTAAAATACATTTTAAAATACATTTTTGTCCGGACTGACAGGCCAAAAAGTTCTGTTACCGCAACAACCCACATACGGGAAAAAAACAATACACCTGTGACATCAGCAACGGCACAGAAACACACTCACAACGACACACTTAAGCTCTGACACAGATAAATAAAAAAGACAAGATGACAAGAATGAGGTTTGGTGAAAACTGTACGGTACACTGCAATGAGTTGGTCTTTCTGGATGCTTTATGATGGGTTTGATCTGTTTTATATTTACCAGTGAATCTCATGAAACATATTCAGGTCACAACTCACCAGAAACAAAAACAAAAATCTACATAAAGACAAATAATTAAGACCATTTTTAGAGCCATTAAGACTACATTGCATTGCTATTTTTGTATTATAACCAGGGAGCATGTTTTTTTTTCCGAAACAGACATCATGAAAATAAATGTCACTATGTATGGAGTGAAAACAGTCTCAAAACCTTCCACAAATGCATGTGAAAGGTTTTCACTCCATAACTATGCTAATAATCATAATGGCCCAACAATGGTCATATTTTTGGCGGAGAATATATATATATATATAGGGGTTAGGGTTAGTGTCCTATTGTAATTATTGGATTTTTATTATTGACTGATCGTGCAGACCAAACCATAAGGGCTTGAGATTTGAAAGATAGATGGCACTACAGCGACAAAATGTTTGTCTAATAGACTCAAGTGTCTTATATCACTGTAATCCTTGGCTCAAGACGGAAAAAACGTATATTTCCGATTTCATTTCCGGTATGAAATGATTATTACAATTTTGGGAAAAATCAACTTTTTTGAACTCATTGGCAGATTCACTCGATATGCATCATCTAGAGGTCTCAAGACAAAAAGTTACCGAAATAATTTCGTTTGGTGATTCACGCTTGCAACGGGATGCCAAAACGTTCGAAGTAGGTGGGGCTAATATTGCTAAAATGGCTATAACTTGTGACCGGTATGATATATTTTCACTAACTCAGTACACTTATGTATGAGCGCAATCTTTGGTTTGTTGGTTTTTTTTATTATTATGATGGACTGGTAATATAGTTTTATATTATTAGATCACAAACAAATATGTGAAATGCTTATAGATAAAAGATATTTTCACAATAACATATCCCAAAAACATTTGTCTTTGTTTGTGTGCGTGCCTTTGTGCAAGCATGCTTAATAGAGAACTGCTTTGTTTTACTGGTGGATAAGATGTTTCAAATGAAAGTGGTCATCTACTGCCCTCTGCTGTTCATTCTACTTATAAATTAAGTCTTTTCACAGGTGCTTTTGGATTCATATTATAAAATCACTTAGCAATCACTTAAACACAATTATATTTTGTCTGAGTTTATGCCATATAAATTCTCAATACTGTTCAAGGGAATGCACGTTTCAACAGTTTATATACAGATAAGATAATCACTGTTGTCAGAATGCTTGTCAAACTGGTTCTCTGGAACATTGTAACACACACACACACACATGCGCACACACGCGCAAACATTCAGGATCGCAAAACTTATTCTGAACACTATTGAGGGATTTAATAATAAAAAGTAGAGAAAATTGAACATTAAATATTTCTTTCTGTTTTCAACGTATCTTAAACTGTGTGCCAAAATGTAGATAACTCTTGAACGGTATAATATATTATTCACCAAACTTGGTACATGTGTGTACGGGCTCAAACTTTGGTCAAGTGAAAAAAAAATGCGGCAATTGTCCACTTGGTGGCGCTATTGGAGGAAAAAAAAACATGAAAATGGCTAACACAACCCGAGCGTTGGTGCGATTGACTCGAAAATTGGCACGCAGTGTCTTGGTCCAAGGAGCCATGTATGTATATGAGGACATTGGCTTCTTGCAGCTTCAATTATATTTGTATTTCTTTTTTATTTTCGGGAGAAATGTGACCCAGTTATGTTTTTGACACACCGATCTATATATTTAACCATCAACCCAATCTTCAGAATACAGTCATTACACCATAACTTATATAAAAGACATCTTTCAGACACCTGTATGGTGGAAACATTATTTGAAACTGAGAACAGAGACAATGAATTAACACACTGTGTGTCTAACACTGACAGAAAAACTCATTTAAGGCCTCATTCAAATCATCCGTTTGGATTGGATGAACTCAATCATCCCTCTCATTACTGGGTTGCTGAACTGTGTTGATTCTGCTCGATGAGGACGAATTAAACAGAAGACTAGTTTGAGATGAAGCGGTCAAAATAAGCAGCAGTAAAGTAAAGCTTTGGACATTCATTCATTTCCATTCATAGACGCTTTTATCTTTTTTGGCGGTGAGTGCTAATGTTGTTTAACAACTGAACAGGATGCTGGACTTTATGGGACATTTTTACCTGTGCAAGTGGTTAGAAACTCATTACAGGTACTTCTGGGAGATCATAACCCCTCCTGAGCCTGCAAAATTCAGTAGAGGACACATAAAAAAAACATTTTAAAAAAACAGCCTAAAAAACTACTATACAAATTATAGTATGATATTCACAGTTGCTTGGGTCCATGGACTGTTTGTAAAGGAGAACAGCAGAGAGAAACGCATGGTCATGAACCGTCCATCTCCTGCGAGCGTACAAACATCAGAGGAAGTAGGAAAGCCATCATGGGAGTCAGGCTGGACCAGCATGGGCCACACCGACGGTGAGGTAAGGGGCGATTTGCGTGGGCACTGCCATGGGCGGCACAAAGCCGATGTTGGATGGCGGGATTATGAGAGGCTGGCACACGAACGGCTCTCCCTTCCTACGTTTCCCAGCTGAAAGCAGAGGACTCAGAGTCCCAGAGAGCCGGAGGTCCAGCAGTTGCAGTGATTGTCTAAGCAGAGGAGAGCTTTCAGGTGTCTGTGGTGGGTCTGGTGTCCTGTGACGGACAGGAGCTGTCTGGAGGGTCAGTTTGAAGATTCAGTTTCTCACCCGATTCCATGGAGTTACAACTCACACAGCCCTGGAAAAAGATTTTAAAAGAAATCTATGAGATCATGATATGCTTCAGTGCTAGATAGAAACCATGAGTCAGGCTGATGCTGATGGTTGATATAATATTGATATGATGTATATAAGATGCACCAAATTGAGAAATGACAATAAATACAAAATATTTCTTGAGCAGCAAATCTGGTTTTGTGGTCCAGGGTCTCAAGTACTGTCACGGGTATATTTTTTGGCAAGAGCCAACAATACATCATATGAGTCAAAATGATCGTTTTTTTTTGGACATAAATGGACAACTTTTAAGCCGATTTTCTCAATGTTTAGATTTTTTTGCACCCTCAGATTTTAAAATAGTTTTATCTTGGCCAAATATTGCCATATGCTAACAACCCATACATCAATGGAAAGCGTATTTATTCAGCTTTCATATGGTGTATAACCAGTGTTCGGCATGTTACTTAAAAAAAGTAATGAGTTATAGTTACTAGTTCCTTCCAACAAATAGTAACGGAGTTAAATCATTATAAAAGTAACTAATTACCAGGGAAAGTAACTATTGCGTTACTTAAAAAAAAAAAAATTAAAATAGGCCTATGTCAAATAACTTGGATGCACCCAATATTAGATATGTTAAATTAATGAAATGGACACTATAGAATAAATTATTATTATTATAAAAAAATGTACACTAATCTAACACTATCGTAATGTTGGTGTAGGACAATGTCGGAGATGCCTATAAAACTCAATATATTATTTTAAATATTATCATTACTATCGTAGTACAATAAAACATAATTTTAGGTTTAGGTTTGAAGAGTTCAGATGCAAATGCCTCTAAATGCCATTTGAAATTTTCATCTTTAATGATGATTTTTGTCAAACTTGTATATTTAAGTTCAGTAATTTCACTTAAATAACAATTAATAGGTAATTATCATTGCCATTTAAGTGAAATCACTGAACTTAAATATACAAGCTTGACAAAAATCATCATTAAAGAAGAAAATTTCAAATGGCATTTAGAGGCTTTTGCATCTGAACTCTTCAAATTTTAATATTTAATATTGCACAGACCACAACTGGCCAACAAATAAGTCTAAAAATAAATTATGTTTAAATGTACCAAAAATGAATAAATAATAATAATAAAATATACATACACTCTTTGTAGTGAATATTAAAATGATAAACAGGATAAACAGTTCCCTGCAGGATATTTTTTAGATTTTATTTCCATAACCATGTAAATTAATTAAAACATTGCAGATGATACCAAAAGGCTACAGAGATTATTCTAATGCAGAAATTTGTACTTTATGTATAAACATACTATAAAAATATAATGCTCGGACACACTCGATCTCTCTCGCGCTGTCGAGCGCGCTCTCGGACACACTATCTTGCACATTGTCGCTTTAGTCCAGTCCGGCGCCTCATAAACACACACACACACACACACACACACACACACACCAGAGAAAAAACGTTTCAGCTCCTATGGTGGAGAGAGAGCCGACTCACCTTCAGTGAGCTCAATTAGGCTATAGTAACGTCACACTTTATTGTAATTAACGCTAGTGGCGTTTTAACGGGGGAAACAGTAATTCGTTTGATTACTCTTTACTGAGAGATAAACACCATTTATTTATAACGCCATTATTCCCATCACTGTGTATAACTCTAAACAAAAAAATAAAAAAGACCCTTGTTGTGACTCGTATTGTGGCGCAGGGTCACATTAATGATTTCTGAAGGATCATGTGACACTTTTGCATCACAGAAATAAACTACATTTTAAAATAGATTCAACTGGTTATTTTAAATTGTTTACATATTACAGGAAAACATCTGACACAAGGAGAAACTCCCTGTTATCTCAAATGTATGAATATGGCCAATATATAGATCTACAATGGTACACATGTTCGATCCTGACATAAATGAGAAGCTCTCGACCTGTGTGTTGATCTCCTGTGGGAAGGTGTGCTGACGGATCCAGGGATGAACCTCAGCGAGCTCCTTCTTCTGGTCCAGGGTGAACCAGGGCTGCATGGGCTGCATCAGAAGCAGCTTCTCTCGGTCTTCCTGCAGAACCTGCTCCTGATCCCTGCATGGACATCCACACACACAAAACCAAACTTACTCAGGCACGCTGCTAGATGACACTGAACAGCACACAGCATCTAAACACTGCTAAAGCATCTTGGACTGGCGTATTCCTTCCATAATCAGGAGCTTTTTAAAAGGATCCACTTCATCAAGCCGCTAAACACGGGTCTCATTGTGTACCGTCACCTGGAGTCACCTACCTCAGGGCTGACGGCGCAATGAGACATTTAGCTTGATCAGAACTACCTCAGCGAGAGAGCCTGGCAGCGCTATCGCTATCCCCTGTGGAAAGAGATGCTGAGAATGTCACATTTCCCACAGGTTTCTCAGAGGAATGAGCGGGAACCCGGGATTGAGAGGAAGAGGGAGAGAAGGACAGAGGGAGAAGACGTTCCTCCGGGTCCGTTACCTGGGGCTGATCCGATAGGTCATCATGATGGGCTCTGGTGTCTGCTTGATCGTGCTCCACAGAGGGTTGTCCACGTGCGCGAGGGCCGTACGCTCCTTTTCCTGGGCCTCCGCGGACTTGCGCGCCTTTCGGGACGTGTCCGACGAATCGTTGCTTGCGAAGTACTCGCTGCTGCCTGTAAACGTGAAACGTCAGGGCTCAGTTTAATGATGTTTTAAATGTCATGTAAACTGTAAAAAGTTAATTTTTGAACAAAGAAAACTTCAAAATGTCAAGTTCAATTCAATTGGTTACATGTCATGAAATTTACACACAATTTCTGAGAGAAAACTGTTTTGTTTTTCACACTTTTTTAGTTTTTAGTGCATGTTTGGAACAAAATGATGGGGAGTCAATTTTTAATTTTTGCATAATCTTCTGGGAGACTTTCACGCAGTCTAGTTGAAACTAGACCACTAATCCAAAGTCTTTTAACACCAGCTACAGAAAAAAAGCTATTTTGTGGTGGAAGTGCCTAATTCTGTCCACACAACACTGAGTGTAATGGATATATGATTTTGAACAGCACCGGTATGGCTGGTTGACGTTCCGTTAGATCCCAGTCCGGATCCGGAGCCCAGTGAGCCTCCCGACTCTCCGGAGCCACTGCCCGACGCGTTGGAGCCGGTTCCTGAGCGGGCATCCTCCTGTAGCAATTGGTCAAGCATTTCGCTGGAGGTAGAATTGGCGTCCTGGTTCCCCGACTCACTGGGAGCTTCTTCCTGTCAGCAGATAGGTAATAATATAATATAATATAATATAATATAATATAATACATTTAATTATAAATAAATAAATTTAATTATAAATAAATAAATAAAATTATAAATAAATAAATATAATTATATAATTATAAATAAATATAATTATAAATAAATAAATATATACAATATAGATTTTAGACATATTTCACCTAAATATATAATGCATTCTAATAATAATAATATTAATAATAATAAAAAAAATCAGCCACTTAAGGCCATTTCATATGAATTTCCGCAAGTATTTAAATATGTTTTAATTACGTGAAATATTTAAATAATTACTAAAATAATTTGTTATTTCTCGTTTGCCACTTTCACATTAATGTTTACAGGTATATTAACATTTAAAATATATATTGTTTTTAAACATATTTTACATTCAAATATTACCCTTCACACAAATGTTAATAACTAAGTATTTTATTCATCATTAATATGATAATTGGCCTCTTATGGCCCCCACATTCATTTTTATAAAGATTTTAAATATATATATATATATATATATATATATATATATGAATGAAGAGTTCAGATGCAAAAGCCTCTAAGTGCCATTTGAATTTTTTTTCTAGAATGATCATTTTTATCAAGCTTGTATATTTAAGTTCAGTAATTTCACTTAAATTGCAATAAGGATTACTTATTAATTGTCATTTAAGTGAAATTACTGAACTTGAATATATAAACTTGATAAAAATCATCATTTTAGAAGAAAATTTCCAATGGCACTTAGAGGCTTTTGCATCTGAACTCTTCATATATATATATATTTAAATTATTTAAATGTAATTTTTTAAAATTATAATATTTAAGTAAAATATTCAAATTTAAATAAAGTATTTTAGTATTTTAATAATTTTAATAATAATTTTAATAATTCATGAAAAGTCAATTTGGCCGCTTGAGGCCCTTTTCTTGTAAATACTTGTAAAGTACTTGTGATAAACATATAAATACTTGTAAAGTATCGGTACAAGTATTTTGACATTTTAATATTGAAATACTTCAATAACAATAATATAATAACAAAATATGAGGTCATAACAACTTACTGCATAAAAATGAGAAAAGTATTCGCAAAATACTTTCTAAAACTGTTTCAGATGGAGTAAATCATGTCTCAACGCAGTGTGTTTCAGCTTCCAAGAAGAATCCAAGCCAACCCAGAAGTCAATGTTTTGGGTCTCACCGTTTTGGCGTGGTGCTGGTGCAGACTCTCAGGACCGGCGCTGTTCAGGGGTTCGGTGGGTTTGGTCAGCTCCTCCTGGAGTAAGTTCAGCTGGATGGGTGAGCTGGAGCGAGAGCTGGAGAAGAGCGCTGTGGGCTGTGCTGCATCAAGGTCTTCCCCAAACCAAGGGGTGGGAATCGAGTCGACCTCTGCGGAGGCACCGGCTGTGACGGTGGACCCTGGAACATGTCCCTGCAATGGAGACCCATGAGCCATGTGGGCACCAGGTGGGACAAACCCACCCATATTAAAGGGAGTCTGGGGAACGACTCCAGGCGCAGCAACGGGCATCCCCTGGAGGTACATGCCATTGGTGCCGGGGTACATGGGGTAGCTAGGAAGAAGCACAACCATCATGGGAGTCATGGGCTGGAGGTTCTGGAGACCTTGGTCAGGCTGGACCACCATGGGCTGCTGATCCGCACCGACGGCGAAGTACGGGGCGGTTTGCATGGGCGGCACAAAGCCGATGTTGGATGGCGGTAGCTGAGATGACTCTGAGGAAGGCCAGGAGGAATGGGGCGCTCCGGTGGGTCCGGGAAGCGACCAGTAGTTGCCCGGCTGGGAGCCGTAGCTGTCGGACGAGTCCTCTGGTTTCGGACGCTTGTGTTTGTTCGGAGGTCGTACGACATCACCTGAGAGCAGATGGGAAAGTGGTTTATCGTTTGATAGTGACTGTTGCTGTTCAGAGGAAAGCTTTGACTATATTAAGAGACACAACACAACCATTGAATCATGTTTTTGAATTATTGCCATCACGCCGTCAATATAGAACACCAAAAACGATTGAATTGATATTTAAACAATCTTTTGTACCAAATGCAATAAGTATTTTGAATAAGTAAATGTGAATATTTTAATTCCTATGTGTGTATATTGTGTATTGTTAATCGTTTTGTGATTGTATGGCGAGACCAAAAACTAACTTTCAGCCGACACTGTAAAAAAATATTGTTGGTTTAACTTAAAAAATGAAGTGACCTGGTTGCCTTAAAATTTTGAGTTCATTGAAATGGAAAAGTTGAGTTAATACAATGAAGGAGATTGATTTAACCATCAGAAACTCTCAAAATATTGTTATCTGAACTACAAAAATGATTTAAGTTGATTTGACAAAAGAAAAAATGTTGTGAAAAAAATTTTTTTTACAGTGAAGGCCGAACAATAAAGTACTACTAACTCACTCCGCAGAAGTAGCAGTGCTTCGCCTTCTGAGAATATAGTTCCCAGTGTGTATACGGTTAGAAGATGGCGGTCTCATGTGACCTTATTATTTGTACACACGGTGAGTAAACAAAATCAAAACATGTAAATAGGAAAATGTTGGTGTTATTTTGTAGGCTAGATGAAGCCATTTACATCCAGTCTTTGTGCTAAGCTAGGCTAGCGGTGGGTGCGTCCACAGCACGTACAGAAATGAGAAAGGTATGGATTATCTAACAATACATAACAAATTTTAGACATGGAGAAAGGCCTGTTTTGCTTTAGCATCCGCCATACACACACAAAACTTTAGGGAATTTTCTTTAAAAATACATCAAAATAACTATATTTTAGAGTTCCCGAAGCGTTCCCACACACACCTCTGTGATGAGAATGGGCCATGCTGCTGTTGTCCTGTTGGAGGTAGGAGCTGTACGGACTCTGCAGGATACGATGTCGGAAACGATCGACGAATTGCTGCTCCTCATTCTGGGTGTGAGCGGACAGCACCTCTTTGGTGAGACCCACCAGGAGTATCTCCTCCTGAGCCGCTGAGGAGGTGCTGGGGGCGGGGCATGCAGGGGTGGGGGCGGAGTCTGTGGGCTCGCTACCCATTGGAGCATCTTCCAACGCTGTGACTTCTGGAGGAAGAGAAGGGGCAGGTACAGTAAGACATTTACAGAGTTCAAAGGTGCTCCTAAAATATTTATGGGCCACATCCGAAATCTCCCCCTATACCCTTAAATAGGACACTAATTGAGGGGACAGCCATTTGTAGTGGTGTCAGAAACCATAGTGGACGTTACCGTTACTTATTCAATACACCGCAATAACGAGTGTACAACTGATGTATGCTCAACGGCTAGAGAATACCCATAATGCACTGTGAGAGACACTCTTCAAATAAATTCCCACGTCTGACCAGAAGATGGCGCCCACAGCTGAATCGTCCATCCATTTTCCAAACCACTGGTCCAATGTGGCTAGTGTTATCATACAGAGAAACGTGGGCGCCGTCATCTTTAGAATATTGTCTTTGAACTTCCGGTTCTGTATATTTCTATGGCATCGCTGTCGAGGAGTAATTAGCTGGTGACGTGGATTTACTTATTGTAGAGTTAACAAAAGTTATCATGAGCGTTGTAATGTTTATCATAAGCATTCTAAAGCAAATGTCGACCGGGAAATTTTTTTCGAGCAGTTCATTCATACCTATGCAAGATCGCTGTCAAAATACAGACAGGAAGTCAAAAGGCGACGAGCGCAGGACTGAAAAGGGGCGGGGCTACAGAAGGTCTATATAACACAGATTATTAGATTGTTTAATCACGATCATGCTGATTTCCATGAGAGTTCAAGATAAATCTACTGTCTCCCAATTCACTCACTCGTTTTCATTCACTCCTTCAGTGGACTAAATTTAGGGCATAGTGAATGAGGGTATAGGTGGTGATCTCGAACACAGCACTGGACCATGTCATCTGCCTAAAAACGTAACACTTTTTGTGTCATTGTATGTGTTTTCGGTGTTAACCCACCCGACTCGGGCTGCGGGACGTGCACTATGGTGCTGCTGTAGCTGCACTGACTGGTGACGGACACAACGCTCATGGCTTCTGTAGAGATGGTGAGGTCAGTGAGCGGCGCTCCCACCACAGCCGCCGTCGTGACTGATCCCGCAGACACCTGACTGTCCAGAACACCAGCGCCCTCGAGAGCAGCTTCTGCAGGACACACACCGTAAGAAACTGTGCAGGGCTTTAGGACAAATACAGAAAGGGTTGGAATGGACTCGTACCGTCTGTGTTCATGGTTTCTTCGTGTGCGGCCGCTTCAGGTTTATCTTCCTCAGACACAGAAGAAGAGGAAGAAGTAAATATGGACAAAGACTCGCTCTTTCGTTTCACAGCAGATGTTGCACAGCTCTCTAGATATCTAGAGAAGGAAAAACACAAATTAACATTTATGTCAACATTTTTTTTTCCGTTATATATATATATATATATATATATATATATACACACACACACACACACATGTATATGTATAATATATATATTAAAAAAGTATGATTGCATATTTAAACTACCTTATATGAATTATAGAAACAAATATTTAATTTGTTTAGATTATTCATTAATAGATATTACCACTTTTTATTTAAAATTATTTTTTTGTTTTTCATTTTCAGAAAAATTACTATACAAAATATAGTATTTTTATTTAGTAGCTATTTTTATAATCTAATTTTTATCTATTTTTATAATAAAAAAGTATGATTGCATATTTAAACTACCTTATATGAATTATAGAAACAAATATTTAATTGTTTAGATTATTCATTAATAGATATTACCACTTTTTATTTAAAATTATTTTTTTGTTTTTCATTTTCAGAAAAAATTACTATACAAAATATAGTATTTTTATTTAGTAGCTATTTTTATAATCTAATTTTTATCTATTTTTATAATAAAAAAGTATGATTGCATATTTAAACTACCTTATATGAATTATAGAAACAAATATTTAATTGTTTAGATTATTCATTAATAGATATTACCACTTTTTATTTAAAATTATTTTTTTGTTTTTCATTTTTAGAAAAAATTACTATACAAAATATAGTATTTTTATTTAGTAGCTATTTTTATAATCTAATTTTTAGCTATTTTTATAATAAAAAAGTATGATTGCATATTTAAACTACCTTATATGAATTATAGAAACAAATATTTAATTTGTTTAGATTATTCATTAATAGATATTACCACTTTTTATTTAAAATTATTTTTTTGTTTTTCATTTTCAGAAAAAATTACTATACAAAATATAGTATTTTTATTTAGTAGCTATTTTTATAATCTAATTTTTATCTATTTTTATAATAAAAAAGTATGATTGCATATTTAAACTACCTTATATGAATTATAGAAACAAATATTTAATTTGTTTAGATTATTCATTAATAGATATTACCACTTTTTATTTAAAATTATTTTTTTGTTTTTCATTTTCAGAAAAAATTACTATACAAAATATAGTATTTTTATTTAGTAGCTATTTTTATAATCTAATTTTTATCTATTTTTATAATCTAATTTTATAATAGTATTTTTAATAGCTATTTTTTTAATCTATTAGATTTAAAAAAAAAAAAACTCTAATCTATTATGCAACATTATGGATAGCATATTTAAATGATTAAATTAAATTAACAATTTAGAAAAACAAAAACAAATTAGAAACTAATATTTGTAATTTCGCTGTGCTTAACATTTTCAGGAAAAAAAAAAAAAAAACCTCAGTTATTTTATAACTATTTTATGTATAAGTTTTGGTCATAGCCTCACCTGATGATGCTGTCCACACAGTTGATCTGCTGATATGATGGAACGTGTGGATGTTTCCGGGCTTCTTGTAAAGACTGCTTCAGATGCAGATTTCTAATTCCCAAACCCTGACTGCAGTTAGGATGAAGGCGTGCGTCTGCCACTGATGGGAACAAATCAAATACAGTTCAAATACCTCTACACCGGGACTGAGCAGTGTGGGTATTGGGTTTATATCTTGTGATTCTAAATCAGACTTAAAATGAAATTAAATCTATTAATTCACCATATGTTTTCTAATCAAGTAGCTGCATATGGTATATCTTGGTTTACATCCATAAAGTGCATCTATTTATGCTCAAAAAACAGAGATGATTGAGGACCAATGTAGAAAAGAAATAAAGAGTCCAGACCTGAAGTGGTTGGTCCTAAAGGTGTGAGCTTCCTCCGGGAGTCGTGGTGCACCTGCCGGCCCCAGTTTTTCACTTTATTGACATCTGTACAAAACTGCTGCAATGTCATCTACAAGACAAAATCACCACTGTGAGGTCCTGCCAAACCAACCCTGATTGGTCAATATTTCATGCACTTTCAGACGTACTGGTTCTCTGTGCGAGTCCTCCCAGAGGTTTCCGTTACTGTCGCTGGATGACGCCACACTGATGTAGTGCTCGTGAGAGCCGTTACTACCCAGACTGCCATAGCCACTCGATCCTTTATTATGAACAGGCTGAGAGAAAGACACATGCGATTAAAACAAACCAGTAGATCAAATGTGCTTTACAACTGCAGTCATGCCACATATGAAGTACTTTTATTTTGTGAGTTCTCATTTTAATTTAAAGTCATTTTTTTTGTGCATTTGTCGTTTTATTACTTTTTGATATTTTTAAATAAACTAAAGCTGATATAAAAATAAATAAACCAAAAGCTTTTTTTTAAAACTCATTTAATTGCCAAGGCAACATTTCTAACATTTTAGTTTGATTTCCATCTAATACTTATATTTTATTTCAGCTTTATTTCAATTATCAAAAATGTTTTTAATAGATTTAGTTAACAATAATAACCCTGATATGAAGTCAAGTAGGCATGCACAGATATTATCAGAGACTATTTATGTATTATCTAATCAAGATCCAATTGTGGGAAATTGCTTATGACTATTATTATAGTTTAGATTGCTTTTGCAGTCATTTTGCTCTAATGAAAGAGCACTATTTTTTGAATGCTTTCCCATAACTGATTTAACTGAGTTTATTTGAACAGTTTTCATGTAATTTGGGTTTGTTCCTCATAAAAAGCGATCCATGCACAGCTATTCAGAAATGTTCAAAAGTTTAATTAACTATTTATTTAGTAGATGCATTAACCCTAAAACCGTATTCTGGACAAATGTGGGGAAAATAGTTTTGATTTAATTAAAAAAAATACTTACATTACTTTACACATTTTTGTTTTGACTCAATTCTACAATGTTAAGTGGGTAAAAAAAAATCTCCTTGTATTTGGGTCAAAAATGGGCACCCATAGAAATGAATGGGAAAAACTGTAATTTACAGCATTCTAAAATAAGCCAAAATAAGACATCAGGTGACAGCAAAGTCACTTCATCTTTAGGTTTTAGCTCTAAGAACTTATTGGAATGATATTTTAATGTAGTTAAAAAATTGTAAAAAATAAAAGCATAATTTACATAGAAAATATGATACTTTTTGAAGTAAATAAATTCAAAAATTCCCCCAAAATAAAAAAAAACACAATAAATGAAACTAAAAAAATAAAATAAAATAAAACTTTATCGAAGACAGTGATATAACATTTATAAAAAATAAAAATTAGGAGTCCTCTGTGCCCACTTTTGTCCACAATTACAGGATTAAGGGCTATAAAGTGAATACAGTTTGAGGGCTACATTGATCAAAAGTAACAAGACATTTATATTATTAGAAAAGATGTATGATTCAAATATATGCTGTTCTTTTGAACTTTCCATTTATCAAAGATCACGGTTTCCACAAAAATATGAAACCGTTTTCAACATTGATAATCGGAAATGCAATGTGTAATGATGCAAAGCTGCATTAAAATAGAAAACATATTATATGAATATTTATTGTACTTCTGATCAAATAAATGGCGCATTTCAGGCTGTAAAAAGGTTGTCCGTCTGTGTCTCTCGTGGATTTCGTGATCTCTCACCTGCTGGAAGAGCTTGTGGATCATGGCTTGCAGCTCTTTCACGTCCTCACACGTGATTGGCTGCTCGGCATTACTCCGTGCAGCAAAAACATCTTCATTCAGAGGTCCACTACACGTAAACAAGTGATGGTGAATGTGCGAATGTGAATGTTTGGTTACAGAAACAACGGACACGTTCATGAGCCGCGCTTACGTGCGAACTTTGTGCCTGCCGATGATGAAGGCCACCTTCCGGCTCCAAGGGTTGATGAAGCTGGACCAGCTGGAGTCCAGGGTCACGTAGTCCCCGTTCTGACACCGGAACCGGATGGGCGAGTGTTCAAATGGCGGCTGGCCTGCGTACTTCAGAACTGAGGGGATCATGACAATTTGGATTAAGATCATTTACATGATTCAAATCTTGCTTAAGCACTAAATGGTTCATCTCCTCAGACTCTTTTAGTCCTCTATAGTCCTTTAAGTCTATTGCGATCTCAAAATTCTGGCCAGTTGATAAACCCACAATATCAAAATCAACTGCAGGCTTTTTTAAAAAAAAATTTACATTACCAATTTCTATTATTTAAATCAGTTAAATGATTGTTAGGCGGCATAAATCAGGTCAACCGGAACCGGGAGCACTTCCTATAAGAAGCATGGCATCTACACTAATATTAGTCTGTCGGTCTCGTCCTCATCCCGAGGTTACCGTAGTCAGCCGGATCCGGTCCATATCCAGATCACACCTAGAAACGCAGCCCTGTGTCTACTAGACAATCCCCTGTGAAGGCCTCGTCGATACGATCCTCAGCAGAGACCACAAGAACCAGACCGGTCCTCCACACAGACCCTAAGACCAGCCTCGGCTCCAAACCAGCGGGATGAATCGATCTTCAAGCAAAAGGAACTGGATGAATACTTGAATGCTACCGATTCTGATCTGAATTCTGATTTGTGATGCAACCTGAATCACAATGACACCGTGTTCGTTCATTGGCCAGAGGAGAAGTGAGCCTGGTTTCTCCCAAGGTTTCATTCGTTCACCTGATGGAGTTTGGGTTCCTTGCCACTGTCGACTCTGGCTTGCTTAGTTGAGGAAACTTAATATTCAACAATATCATTGATCTGACTACACTTTGACACTGTTGTATAAGAACATAACATAACTTCTTGCAGAACTGCTTTCTAGATGAAATGAACTACATTACAACGGAACTGAATCAACAGTGAACTGACTTCAGCTCAATAACAGCCGAATGCATCCTTTTCCTGCTTTGAAACAATCTGTATCGTATAATGCGCGACATAAGACTGATAAAGCCTTTAAAATGTAAAAAAGTCATAATGGACGTACTTTTGCGATGCATGGCCAGCATGAGCTGGCGGTCGTCTGGATGTAGGACGGTCAGAACAGAGGAACCGATCAGGTCCTGGGGGAGGTAACCGAGCAAAGGCACCGCACTGCAGACACAGAAACACATTTATTTATTTGAAGACCTTGTTGAAATGAACATGAGACCGATTAAGTCTTATGTTTGAAAACAGTCCAAGCCTTCATTATTTGTACAAAAAAGACTATTGATTCCGGCACAGAGTAGCAAGATATTGAACTAATGTGGTCAACAAAGCTGGAGTTACTTCACAGTCATGCTGTTATATAAAGGTGAACAAACCATCACTGCAAAATATGCTTGATGCGAAGCTGCTGACTCATTTGGTAAACAGCCATGTAAGATGGAAACTTAATCAATCAAATACATGGATAAAAATACTGATTAGAGCCTAAATTATTATTACTTAAGGCATCTGCCAAGAAAAAGCCCATTACAACAAAGAAAACTATACATAACTACTATTAATAAGTTGCCCAGCTTTACTGTCTTAAATAGCATATTTTTTTCAATCAATAATACAAATCTGTTCACCTTTACTATGTGCAACATATTTTAAATAATAACATTACACAGAATTATTATATGAATATATGAAATTATAATTATTATTTGAACACATAATCATACACTAAAGCTGCTATGGTATTCTGATTAAAGGTCCAAATCACTGACCGGTCGTCCACTTCTAAAAAGACACAGCCTGGAGAATGAGTCGTGCTGAATATGCGCTTGTCCATGGGGATGCGAGGGGCTGGAGACAAACAAGCAAACCCAGATAAAGATTATGAGACCAGAACTTTACTGGCAACATGATGAGGTCATGTAGTAGTGTACAACGGTTTCAGAATGGGCTGAGGTGAAAGGTCAAAGGTTCGTACCCTCATATCCTGAGATGATGCGTTCAGCGAGGGACAGGCAGCACGGCTCTTCTTCTCCACTCAATCCTTGAACCTTCAGCAGGTACGGAGTGATCCGGAAAGGACAATAACGCATTTCTCCATCTCTGTCTTTCCCTCCTCTGATGGCACACACACACACACATGCAATACACACTTAATATTCAGTAATATTACCAATTTGACTGCACTGACAACACTGGATCAGAACTGGATGAACTATTGTCTTCTGTAGAGCTGCTTTATAGCTGAATTGAATTCATTTCATATTTAATAAACTCTGCAACGTTGAGAATGTTATTGAACTGAATCAACAGTGAACTTGAAACGAAACGATCGGTCATTTATAAAATAAATAAAGTTTTATAAGCACAAATACTCGCCTTGCTCTGTTCTGCGATGCGCGTTCGTGACTCTCCTGTTCATCAAAACGAACAAATCTTTTTTCGGGTCATTTCATTCGTTGAATGAACCAAATGACTCGGAAAAAAAATTCGTTCATTTTGATAAACGAGTTCGAACAGGAGAGTCACGAACGTGCATCGCAGAACAGAGCAAGACGAGCATTTGTGCTTATAAAACTTAAACTTTTTATTTATTTTTGAAATGAGCGATCGTTTCGCTAGATAAGACCCTTATTCATCGTCTGGTGTCGTTTAAAGCCCTTTGAAGCTGCACTGAAACTCTCATTTGGACCTTGAACTGTTTGGACCCCATTGAAGTCCATTATGGAGAAAATGCTGGAATGTTTTCATCAAAAACCTTAATTTCTTTTCGACTGAAGAAACAACGACATGGACATCTTGGATGACATGGGGGTGAGTAAATTATTTAGCAAAAGTTTTTTTTAAAATGAACTACTCCTTTAATACTGTTATTTTCTTGCTTTGAAGCAATCTGTATCGTCTAACTAAATGAGACAATTAAAAAGTCATCAGGAAGCAGGGATAAAGTCATAAATAACTCCTCTGATAAGGTGGAGGACTGACCTGAATCGACAGAAGAAGGACTTGACCTGGGCACATTCAAACAGAGCCGCTGCTTTGGAGAGCACAAACACAATCATATTATTATGAGCTGAATTCATCAAATCTGTTGTTCGCATGATTAAAACAACCAGCTTTAAATGGATACTTGACCCAAAAATTAATTTCTTTACTCACCCTCAAATTGTTCCAAACCCGTATGAGTTTCTTTCATCAGCTGAACACAAAAGAAGATATTTAAAGAACAGATGATGAGTCCAATTGGCTTCTAATGTATGGGAGTCATCATTTGTTCTTCAAAATATCTTCTTTTGTGTTCAGCTGAAGAAAGAAACTCATACAGGTTTGGAACAACTTGAGGGTGTGTAAATGATTTTTGAGCGAACTATCCCTTTAAATTGGAAGTGTGACATCATGAGGAGACTCGCCGTTGTCCGTTCCCACATTCCAGTGTGGTAGCCGCGGCTGCGCCGTGTGCGAGTAAAACACGTTGACGTCCTGATGGTACAGTAGGTCCACGAACTTGGCAGATTCCAGAAACTTCCTCTTGCAGTGAAGCACGCTGGACGCCTGTTCAGACGCGTAAACCACCTTCCCCGAGGCCAGAGAGAAGACCACCACAAACATGTCCTGAGGACACCAGAGAGCGGTTCGTGAACTCAGGGAACACGCTCATTAAAGCAAGACGGACGGCCCACGGGGAATAGAGTAAAACAACAGACTCCACCAATCCATACTTCACCAGTTGAGTGATTACATGAAGAAGTGAAAACATTTCTAAAATGTTACGTTTAAATATGCAAATTATGCATTATCTAATCAAATATGCACTCATTTGCATAAACGCCCAGAACTGAAATCTGAACATTGGATGAAAACGGGTTAAAAAATAATTCATTTTGTTGACTGAAATTTTAGTCAAAGGTTTCACACAAAGGATTATAAACATATCTGTTGATCACTCCATAAATCAGTAAATACTGTCAACAGCCATGTTTTTAAAGTATAAAAATCAGGCAAACGATAAATGAACAAACCCTCTGTAAAATCCTTCAGAATATAGATAGGAATAAAACAGTAAAATCTGGTGTATGTAAAGTGGAGATTTCTGACTCCTGACAAAATTATTTTGAGAAATCGGCCTTAACATATATATATATATATATATATATATATACACACACACTGTAAATGACATTTACAGATGCAAATAAAGTACATTTAGGATGTTTTTTTTAAATGAGAAAATACTGTCAACAGCCAGAAGACAATACATTTTACCATGTTTTTTAGAAAAAAAAAGTTTAAAATCAGGCAAACGATAAATTAACAAACCCACTGTAAAATCAAAAACAGTACAATCTGGTGTATGTAAAGCCGTGGAAGTGGAGATTTCTGACTCTTGACAAAATTATTTTGAGAAAACGGCCTTAACCTATATATAAATATGCTGTAAATGAAATTTACAGATGCAAATAAAGTGCATTTAGGATGTTTTCTCTCCACTAATCTGAAACAACATGTTATGAACAGCCAAATAGCGCAAAATCTCAAAACTGAGCTGTCTGTGTGTTGAAAAATTATGTTTTTGCCTGTAGCCTTAGAGTCACCATGAAATCAAAATAGTCCATATAGTTTTTTATAGAATATTGCAGTATGATTATAAATGATTTATCCGTGCATTAAAAAAAAAAAATCATGAGTCCTTGTAATCTTGAATCAAAATAACTTCCCCTCCCTCTTACAGCAGCATTTCTTCTCTGATGACGAGGACGAAGCAACCTGTCACTCACATCACATCCACCAATAGCAAACCATAACCATCCAATCAATTCCCCATGGACTTGTTCAAGAAGCCGTTTCACTCAGATATGTAACAATGGGGAAGAAACTATAATCACAACTTCTTTTTCAATGCAACTAAGTGTTTGAGAGGACGTACCGTGTTTTTCAGTGTGTGTTCTGACGTGATTCTCTCCAGCTCCTCCAGTGTGCACACAGTAGCGTCCCGTCTCTCCTCCAGACCCCTGTTCATCAGTAAGTTGTAGTACTCTCTGTTTGCTGCAGGGGGCGGCAGAGGGAATGTCAAATGAGCTGAGCGTCACAGTAAAGTTAATCAGTGTTTGGCTGAAACAACGGAGCAGGACGCCACAAGAGAGATTACAACACCACACACAAGTACAACTGGGAAATTTCACATCACATCATAGACTGATGACAGACATTCATTTCAAGTGATTGCAAACAGAAATCAGCACAAATCTATGCAAGCTTTAATTAATAAAACAAAATGCATGATGATTTAATCCCTTAAACAATCGTTTCAACAAAAATATATTACTACATAAACTCTATATTACCCTTGCACAACTATGCAAACTTGCCATTCATTTATGACAAAATCGCAACTAAACAAAACAAATTTTGCAAAAACTTTGGTGACTATCCATCCAAATATGCAATACATTTATAAATATAGCATGCTTTCTGGAAATTTGTGGAAACATTTTCAAGTGCAGTATATTTTGTGTACAGGTTTTTTTTGTAATTATATCAAGAAAGCCTTAAAACATAAAAACAAAAGGCATCAAAATATAATCGCGGATCCAGGACTTATTTCCATTGTGGTCCTCTTACGCATAACGTCAAGACAGGACAATTACATGTTGTGTGATAACAATGACAACATACTACAATAACATACAAATTATAGATGTAACTGTCTCCTTGTTCTATTTCGCTACCCTCTCTAACAACCAATCTTTGGTCCTCATTTTAAAAGAATTAATGCTTAAGATTACTTCAATTTGCCGGTCTAACATGTTCCACTATATAGGCAAATGTTTTTTTTCCCAACATTGTCTTGAATGCATAAGGACAGAGGTCTGATATACTGCCACGAGTGTAAACAGTGTGCGTGTCGTTCACCTTAGTAACAAGACCCAACAAATAATTTGGGACTTTACCATACAATATTTTATGAGTCATGGTCAGTCGTGACATAATAACGCGTGACTCAATAGGAAGCCAGTTAAGCTCAGCAAATTGTGCCTTACCTAAATGAGACCTGTTTAGAATTACTCTTATTAATTTATTTTGTGCTGTTTGCAGCCTTCCTCTCTCAGCACAGACTGCCATGGTATCAAGTTACGCCCTCATCCAAAGGCAGGGCGGGGATATGCAGCTCATTTGCATTTAAGGTGGTATACACCCAAAACAGCTCATTTTTAAGCAGTCCCCAAAATGACATTTTCAAATGGTTATAATAAATAAACTATGGGGTATTTTGAGCTGAAACTTCACAAATACTTTCTGGGGACACCCGTGACCAATATTACATCTTGTGAAAAGGGGCATAATAGGTGCCCTTTAAGTCGTTTTGTAAGTCCTTCAAACCAGGAAGTGCATGCATATTCAAACTGGTTTAAAGCCCAGTGACTTTAGATGTTACTTCAGGTAACCATGGATGTTACTTCAGTGTTTCTTCACACTGTATTAATGAGATAAAATGCGTGTTTTATACAGTAGCACAAATCTGTCATGTTTTATTTGTATATATATGTTTGTTTTTATTTATTGGTTCTGTCATCCTCAGTTTCCCCTATCTGATTGTCACCAGAGTTTCATTTTGATTTGAGTTTCAGTCTCTCTAGTTCCTCTAGTGGTGTGTTTCAGTTTCAGTCTGCTCCTTGTCTTGCATTATGTCAGTTCTCTGCGATATGTGGTCGTACGTTTCCTTGTAGAGCCAGACCGATATATCGGCCGGCCGATATTAGGCATTTTCCATAATATCGGTATCGGCAGTTATAATGGCCGATGAATGAATATTTAAAAAATAAAATAAAAACGGACGAAACACGCTTTAATCATCTCTCCTTGGCCTGTTATGTTGAAAATGTATGTTTTACAATTTGCAGTATGATGTTATCTATTGCTAATAATAGACTAGCTAACCACAAAGCAAGCTAAAGCCACTATCATCAGTGGAAGACCGCTAACGTTAACATTAATAAGCTTGGAAACAACAATGAACTTTTTCTGCCTAAATAAAGTAATGATTACTGTATTTATAACTAGTATATCTCTAGTCACAGTCCCTGCATTGTAAAATGTAAGTTATATTTGCGAGGAGTGAACATTTAGACATAGAGAAAAAGTATCGTATCTTGTGCAGAAAAGTTAGCTTTTCTTTTACACGTGTGTGAAATCCAACAATATTTAATAATAAAAAAAAAAAAAATATCGCCCGATATATCGGAATATCGGATTTTAAAACCCCAAAATATATGTATCGGTATCGGCCTTCAAAATCCTTTATCGGTCGGGCTCTATTTTCTTGTTTAAGTATCGGATTAAAGCCGTGCGCTTGACTACAGCCGCCTAATCCGTGACACAATCACTTAGAGGTGTTGTGGCAGAAAGATTTCCTTGCACAAGTAACATTCAGGAGTGCCGTTTTCCAAGCGATAACAGGATAAAGACATCCTTCATGCATATCAGAAAATTAGGGGTTTGCACAACCACACATATTATCAGCTGACATTAGGAAGCTACTGACAACAAATGAGAGCATGAATGATTCAGTTGAAAATGTGTTTCCTGTGCTTTGGTGACTAGATAAGCAACAGTGTCATCAGATCATCTGCTGCTCTTCAATCAAAGCTGCCTTATTAACTAAATTAAATCATCGTGTTTGCCCTCACTGAACCACAGCGTATGTTTTGATTCGGTTGCTACTTGTATGGCAGCTGCATTCTAGCGTGTTGAGTTTCAGCATTACTTAACCACATGACGCACACGATGAGCTCACATAGAAACCATCCACATCATCTCAACACAGGCTTTATACTGTAAAACACAGCACAGGGGAAAGTCCTGAAGGCCTTCCTGACGGACCGTTGCATAATCGGATAATCTGATGGTGTGTTATACAGTAACAGCAGTCGCTCTAGTGGCTTTATGCTTGGAGTCACACACCAAAACAAAAGTGAGTCTACCTTGCACTTGTTTGACACAGTTCAGCGCGTAGTGCAGAGCCTCCACAGTGCTGGCTTTACTGCGCATCCTCTTCTCAGACGGCAGACGCTTCTTCATCTCCTGCACCGTCTGCATCATCTCTCTGTGTGTCTGCCCTCGCCCGTGCTCCGTCTGCTCACTGCACACACACACACACGTTTCATTTCAGGTCTTTTTTGACAATTGCAAATGGTTATTGCAATATAGAAGTACATTTCCACCACATAAGAAAAAAAATCATGAGATAAAAATACTTAAACCTGCCAATGAAAGGTGTTAATGTGCCTACTATATACGTACACATCTAATGTATATGAGAACATGTTTTTTTTTTTTTGTATTTTGTATTCTTTGTAAAAACTGTGGAAGGGACAAAGACAGAGTCCAAAGCAAATTTCCCTTTGGGGACAATAAAGTACAGCTTATCTTATCTTATCTTATTAACAAGTTATAATTTTGAGATAAAATGTTGATTAGAGCCCGACCGATAAAGGATTTTGAAGGCCGATACCGATACAAATATTTTTTGGTTTTAAAATCCGATATATCGGCCGATATTTTTATTTTTTTTCAGAAACGCGCAACAAAACATTAACAGATTTCCCTAACATTAGTTATTTGTAGTTCTTTATGAGTTTTAACTAAAATAATATAATGCATTTTAAAAAGAAACTTGTTTCTTTTATTGTCACAACAGAACAGACTGATGATAGTGGCATTAGCTCGCTTTATGGTTAGCTAGTCTATGATGAGCCATAATTTAGCAATGGATTATGTCATACTGCAAATTATAAAACATACATTTTCAATATAACAGGCCAAATGCTATAACTGTCACGTGCTATTAAAGAAATACTTCAGTCACATGGTCAAAAGTTAAAAGGACAGTCAGTCAACTACACTGTAACAACGTAACGCAACTATTACTAGCTAATTCCGCTTCACTCTCGGCTTATTTAACAGCAGCAAAACTGTCACAAATTTTGTCATGCTTATTTGAGTTGAGAGAACTGATGGGGATGATCTTTTCATTGTTATTCAAGCAATGTATGTATCGTGAACAATTCAACGAGTGTTGCCAACAGGAATGGTGTAGAGTGCCCTCTGGTGGACAAACTATACAACTCCAACACTCATGACATGGTTCAAGCGTGTTTCATCCGTTTTATTTTTATTTTTGAAATATTCATTTATCGGCCATTATAACTGCCGATACCGATAGTTTTGAAAATGCATAATATCGGCCGATAATATCGGTCTACCGATATATCGGTCTGGCTCTAATGTTGATCGATTGAAATTATGATAAAAAGTGATAATCATAACATAAAAGTTGAAATTGTTATGATATAATCTATAATAGAATATAAAGTTAATTTTGTGTCAAAAAATTGAAATAACCTATTAAATCAGAAATGTGAAATTATGAGAAAAAAAAGCCATTATGACTTTGTATCTCATAATAAACAACAAAGCATGATTTTGTTTTCTCATGTGGCAGGAATCGGCTTCCATAATTATAATAACTATATGGGTGTAGAAATTATCTGAAAGGTGGAGGGAATTTTAAAGATGAATTTTTATAACTAACATCTGATGTCAACACTAGCCTTTTTTCATTCTTCTAAACCAAACTTCTTTTTGTCGGATGTATCGCAATGAGAAATTGTGAGCTTGTGCATCTTTATTTTCAATAAATAACAAGAACACTATCTCTTTATCTAATGCAATTGCATAAATACATTTTTAAGTGTGACTTGAGTGTCCAAACAGTTTTAAGACCACTATATGATCTTGATATTAATGCATATCTGCAAATCCCGAGTTGTGTTACTGTACTGTGTAAATCTGTGGTTCATTTACCTGCTGCACTCTGTGTGACGAGAGCTGTGAAAGCTGGAGGATGAAGAGACAGTGGCAGACTTTGAGCTGAAGACACAAAGAGAGAGAGAAACAAGAGTCTATGATAGGACAGGACTTAACCTACAGTATACATGATGTTATACCTCCTCAAACGGACTTGTTTTAGTCCAGTGGTTCTCAACAGGACATGTTGTTTTGTTTTCACCCTGAAATGGCACACCTGATTCAATTAGTCAGCTACACATTAAGCCTTTGAGGCTTTCAATAGCTCAATCAGGTGTGCCATTTCAGGGTTAAAACAAAAATATGGCCTGTCAGGGGGTTGAGGGCCACTATTCTGGTCCCTAACCCTCAGTTTAAGTGATTGATGTACCTCTTAGTGCTTCCTGACCCCGTGGTGCTTCCAGGGCTGCGATTGGCCGAGGAACGATGATGTCGTGATCCAGCGAGGCTGTCGTTCCCGCTGCTGGACTCATGACCACTGTTCATGTCCACATCCTCGTGTGTCTGCTCTCCTCCACTCTCCTCACACCCCGGAGAGCTCTCCCCTCCGCTGGCCCCGGGGTCCTGCCCGCTGCCGGTTCGGTCCGCCTGCCCTGGAGAACGGCTCTCCTCTTCTCCATCGGGCAAGCCGTCTCCTCCCGGCATTCCCCGCTGTGAGTTCTCCCGCGCCCGCTGCCCACCCCTACTGAAGCTCGGATCCTGAGTCGAGACGCTCCACTGCCTTTGTCCACATTAACAACGATGGTCTATAGAGAAATCCATGACCATGATGACGACAACGTTTTACTCGGATAATTGGGGGTTATGTAGTCTTCCATTGAATGAACTAAAAGAGAAACACGGATAGATATCAAACCCATGAAAAAGCACTTTGATAATAACCTGGTGTAATAATTATACAAAGTAATATTGAACGAAAATATATTTATGCATATATACATACACGTATACATTATATACACACACATATATATATATGTATATATATATATGCATTTACATAAATATATTTTTGTTCAATATTAGTGTACGTGTGTATATGCATGTTTGTATATAAATATATGTGTGTGTGTGTTTATATATATATATATATATATATATATGTATATATACATATATATATACACACATGTATATACACACATACATACATGCACACACACACTCTAATATTGAACAAAAATATATTTATATAAATGCATATATATATATATATGCATGTGTGTGTGTATAATGTATGTGTATGTATATAAGCATTTACATAAATATATTTTTGTTCAATATTAGTGTGTATGTGTGCGTATGTACACATATATTTATGTAAATGCGTATATAAATATACACATGTATGCGCATATTTATATACACACACATATATATATTTATATATACACAGACACAAATATCGAACGAAAATATATTTATGTAAATGCATATATATATATATATATATTACACACACACACACACATATAAATTATATACATATATATGCATTTACTTAAATATAGTTTTGCTCAATATTAGTGTATGTGTGTGTAATGTGTATATACACATTTATATAGAAAATATACAGTATATATATAAACACATACACATTTATATAGAAACACACACACACACACACACACACGTGTGTATACATGCATTTACATAAATAGATTTTTGCTATTTTTAAACATATATTTTTTAATTATTTTACATAGTCCCAAATAAAATTAAAAAATACACTTTAGATATACCCAAAATGCATTTTAAGATTTTCTAATATAATAGAATACATCATTTGAAGCTCTTAACATTTCAATTTGGAAAATATATGTTGTCTCAATCCGTGTGGTTTACAACATATATTTAGGATATAATTTGGCCATGGTACGTCAATATGACCTCAACTCTGGATGAATAAAGCTGGAGGCTCATTATGTCTCTGCCTACACAATCTAGGATAAAATTAGCAAGAAAATAACTTGATTTCACCACATTACGTCTCATTAACTAATAAACTTGGCGTTATCGTGTTATGGAAACAACATGTTGTTTTGCACATGCAGCACAGGATGGCCGGGTGTCATATCAGCTTTCACTCTCAAAAACAACAGCCTGCCAGTGTCATCCACAGACTGGACTATTCACATCACAACACACATTACTGACTATATACAGGACCATCATCATGTGTGCGTACTGCATCGCTTACACACTCCGTCCTAACATGTTTTTACTTTTACTTCTATACTTCAATTGGAAGATCCAAAGTGCCTCACAGAAATCTTTGAATGTGTTGAATTTCTATATTTCACACATAAAATGTGAGTGGTGTGTGCATATCACCATATAGGAGGATGCCAGAGTGTTGCTATATCTGTATTAAGTCTTTAAGTCTGATTACTTAGAAGTATGCGGCCTTTAATACTTAGGTTTAGTAGCTCGTTCTTAGTTCTGATTCAGCAAACAACAGAACATTTACATCAAATTTTATTCCCTGCATATTTGTTACTCTGCTCTGCACGGTTTTATTGTCAAAGAGTATTGATTAAGGCATTACTTGCTGCTTCTTCATAATTGGATTTATCTCCGAGTTAAAATAGTTTCAAACTAAATTTCTCCAGCAGTTTATTTTAGTGATGGTTCTGACGTCTCTCTCTGTGTTGTGAAGTCATGACCTGCGTGTGTAATGTACAGTGAATCGGACTCAGTCATTCTCAGAATAGAGTGCAACTACGTCAGGTGTAAAAAATACATCAAAAAATAAAACAAGTAGAGATCAGTCTGAACCATGCTTTTTTTTTTTTTTAAGACAGGCTGCACACAGAAGCTATAGGGCAAGTAAAAATGGCCATCAATGACAGAAAATATGTCCAAACATGCCATTTAGAATAAGCTAAAACATGACACTCAAACAGAAAGAACATGGCTGCAGTCGGTGCTTTTAGGAAATATGCACATGATCACATGATTATGTAATACTAGACACGCATACAAACACGTTTCTTTGTCATTTACATTCATGCATTCTTATCATATCTCATGTCTTTACGGTTAAGAAGTGGTAATGGATCTTTTGCAACAGGTGATCATCTTTATGGATTCTGCATATCACTGACAACTATAAAGCAGTACATGCATATTTAAGAGTTATTGACATAACCGATATGTGTCCTTGTGAATCAAGTCAACTGCATAGCAAATAACACTGGAAAATTCATTAGTTGATTTTTCCCCTACATGTTTCTGTGTGTCTAATCATTTGTCACATGATTTTGAGTGTGTTTCTAATCATTGTTAAATCACCTGTGCTTATAAGAGTTGCCTCTAACTCCATAAAGGGTATTGTGCCTGATGAAGAAACGCAGAGATAGGTTTTAGATCAGTTTTTGAGATGTAAAATCTACTCCTTACAGAGGAGGTTTGCCTTAAAAAATAACTAAACACACTTTTAAATGAGTATAATTAGTGTACAAATGACTCAACAGACAACTGATGATATCAGACATGTTTGAGTTAAGGTTTTCTCTACACAAGTGTGTTTAATAAACTGCTAACAAACATCTAGCTGATGAAATATTTCAGAACGGAGTAAAACAAAATGTCGAAGTTTTCATGACTTTTCCAGACTCATTTGCCAGATATTTCCTGCTGGAATAGATTTGTCTGCTAAAATGAACAGCATTGGCCAATTATCACTTTTTTTCTTTATTTTTTACACTAAATATGAAATTTCTGTAACTATGCCCTAATATTTGTTGGAAAGTTGCATTAGCCCATAACTGCACCACTGCTTTCTAATTATAGGCATCCATAATCCATAACAGTTGATTGCACATTTCCATGACTGTGATCATTAGATCATTAAATCTTATCATAAACCTTATGGCACCAAATAGTACATTCACAATAAATCACCATCACTCTTGGACGATCCAAACAACCCTTACAGATGCACCAGAAGAACAAGCATCTTAAAGTTCCCACATAACTCATGTAACGAAAGCAACAGACTATATGTTGATACTGATGCGCGCCTCCGCCATGCACATGCACGGCCACGAGTTAGCAAAGAGAAAGATATTCCGCTAAAACCCTCTACCCGAGCCGTACATCTCACACAAACCCAGCAACATCAAAAAATCAAAAGCTTTTAAACGAGACACAAGTAATACAATTTAGTATTGAAGTCGGGTGAGCAGTGCGCATGCGCACGGAGGAGACGTTACTGGCGGAGTAAAGGTTTCACGAAAAAAAAAACACAAGCAGGATAATACAAATTTAATGTATCAGAAGTGAGTGCTCATGACTGTATAATATAGTTCATTAATAATATAATCATAATAATAGTGATATACAACGTTACCTGAAATTGTTGATAATGGAAGACTTGAACGCTGCGTTTCTTGTCTTATTAAACACTACAGCAGAGCAGTATTATATCTATATCTATAAATCACTGTTGAGAGCAGTAAAACAATGCAAAGTTAGCACTTACTTGTTGTTTATTTCAATTTTCACTTGCTCCAGTTTCTCATGTGTCCCTCCATTACTCCTCCGGAACGCAACACTTCACCCACGTGAGTTTGGCCGCCCGGAGCCACGCCTACTTCACTCCCATTCGATGGGAGCGTTTCCCTACGACAGTCTGATTGGTCGAGGGGCGTAGACAAAACAGCCTAGCATAGAATGCGGATGACACTCACGTGTATCACCATGTTATACAACCAGAACAACACAGGAACAACAGATTGAAACTATGACGTAGCGGTGGATAACGCCACGCCCTCCACAGTTAGGGCCGTTACATAGTCAACGCATCGGTACGCATACGCGTCCGCATGGCTATGCATCGCTACGCTTTGGCCGCCATTATGCGTCGATGCGTAGCCAAATGTGTCGTCCTAGTTTTTGATACGCGACGCACTGATGCGCGCAATACTATGCGTTATCGGTGGGGGCGACATTGCAAGAATTGTACATTAATTCAAATATATCATGTTAACAGAAGAAGAAGGTTTGAATACAATGGCGGGCGAGGAGGAAAAATTATACGAGCTTATCCCCGCATTTATATCATCCGCATTTATACGACAGAATTCACAATCACAATTAGTAGGCTACACTCAAATAAAATTGCGTTGGAAAATGCCTGGAGAGAGGTTGCAATCGCGATGGGAAAGACAGAATCAGGTGAAAACGGACTGGAAAAGTGCCCGTGACAAATTTACCAGCCTGGTTATATGAATTAATGGTTTATGGATATGAATTAATGAATTAAAATACCAAATTAGTTAAAATGTGTAATGGTTTTTACATAATTTAAATAATACCAAATTATAAAAAAATGTGTAATGGTTTTCACATAAAACCAAATAAGTTAAAATGTGTAAAGTGTTAAATAATAATAAAAAACTCATGCTTCAAATCGAACTTTTATCAATTTATTTGTCAGTGCTACCCAATCGTAGCACACTGTAGCCTATTGAAACACGCCAGCATCTGATAAAAAGTAATCAGCCAGCTGCTCCCTGACAAGTGCCGCTCTCCCGGGAGGGTCTGCTGCTGCCGACCGAAAACCGTGGTCCGTCGACCATGTTCTGGTCCCCCACAACGTGCTGCCTCCACTCCACTTCAGTGGATGCCAGAAAGTTGTGGAGAGCCACGCACGCCTTCACGAGCTTCACCGCTTTTTCAGGTTTGCAGTGAAAAATCTACTACCCCCTGTTGCGTGACCGGTGTATTGCATTTTACGCATCGCCCGTGACGCTTGCGTCTGCTTTAACACTATGAAAGGGAGCGCGTTGCTCGCGTCACTCGCGTTGCTTTCTCGCGTAGCTCGCGTTGACTATGTAACGGCCCTTACACTACGGTGTTGTACGGGCACAATTATGATTTTTGGGCCTCATATTTTTATTAAAAAATAGCATAAATTATCATATAAAATGTAAATTATCATAAACTGCCGTCACTGCATTGGGCGTGACGTGAGGCCATTCGTTAAAGCATACACTCTTAGAAGAAAAGGTTCTATATAGAACCTTAAAAGGTTCTAAAGCGCTACGTATTTGGAACCCCTAAAACGCAATGCATGATTGATCATAAAATTCAAGATAAGGGGGTTAAAAAATGTAATTAATCAATATCACACGAAGAGTGCCATTTCAGTTTTTATCCTTCAAAAATCAGCATGATTAAAATGGGATATTAAGTTACTACAACAGTTTAATAAACAATAATTTAATTACAACTGCAAAATGTTGCAGAATAATGTAATATATGAATGAATAAAAGCCTATAAAGAACCTTTGTGCCAAAAGGGTTCTTTCTTGTCATTAATCATCATTTTTTTGCATAAAAGGTCCTTTGCAGTTGAGGAAAGAACCCTATGCTACATATATAGAACCCTTTTTTCTAAGAGTGTATAGTGCATAAGGTTCTATACGCGTTACTAAGAATAAAAATAATAAATATTTTTATAAATAAATATCTAACATATTAAGACGCGTGCGGTTCATCCACAATGCACCAAGTAGACTTTTGCAGACAGAAATCGCAATGCGATTATGACTTTTGGGCCTTGTACTTATTAAAATAGTCATTGAAAACGGTAAAATAAAGTAAGTAGTATGACCTGCTTATAGGATCTGAATTGTTGCCTGTTGAAAGAGGCAGTAAAGAAATTATGTTTAGGTTGTTAAGTCTTTATTAACATACATATAGGTATAAGATATGTTGGTACAAATCACAAAAAAAAAAATGCCTTATTATTTCAGTTGTTTGTATCGAGGACAACTTTTATATCTAAGGTTCAAATTTGTTTTAAAAAAATGGCTACAAAGAAACAGCCTTCTGTAGAAACCCCTCACACCATTGTTGTCTTGAGAGATGAATGCTATTCACAGGTACATAATGTGCACCTTCGTCTTGAATGAAGACTGCAAACTAGATTTAACCAGGACAAATGCAGTAGTGCACATCAGAACAACAGTATTTGAAATAAAAAGTGATTTGTAGCATCATCTGAAGCAATCTGATCCATTAAACCTTTGAGTAACAGCAATAAAAAGCAAGCTTCATAATGACTTCCTGAATTAAGGCTTCCGTTGAGAACTAAAGGATGTTAAATCAGTTTTATTGAGCCAACACGGGCAATTCAACACACTTAAGTTAGTAAGGCCACAGTATAGAATTGCACTTGGTAACAATTTATACACATGTGAGACAAAGAAATACATACAAAAAAAAAAGCTCAGACAAACATAAAATGTTTTGGCACGTGAGCAAAAACCCCACCAAAAATCGATCAATACTACTGAAATCTGATTAGGCTAAGATATTTCCAAGCAAACTATTTCTACACAAGGTAATACAAATGATGCAGTTAAATTATAAGTGAATTACCACTTTAATCTTTCATTAATATCTCAAGCTTATATATAGCATTTTTCTGTGCAGATATTCTGAGTGAAATCAGAGTAAAGTTCTCGGTTGTTACGGGATGGCAGTGGAGTTTATCTCCAGGCACTGATGGCATGACTGTGGTTGTTCAGGAAAGGCTCGTGTGTCTTGTTGGCACTGAAAAACTCAGACACGGCCAAAACTAGAGTGTCTGGTTACGGCCGCTCACTAAAAGAGTCCATGAGGGATTCATCAATGATATGAGATGTTGGCAAAATGGCTTTCAACCAAGTTTGGCCTGGTTTTTGGTCAGCATGTTTTGGCCTCAAATATTAGTGAAATGTTTCTCATATTAACATACAATGGTTTTGGATCATTTTGTAACTTGTACACTATCTAGTCAGCCCTTGTTCTGTGGTTTGCACGGAGGAGTGTGTTAGATGTATTTGGAAATTATTAGGCATTTTGGAACTTATTCAAATCTTATTCAATTAAAAACAAAACCTAAAAAAACAGAAAAAAAACAAAAAAACAAACAATTGAGGATAGTTTACAATATATGCTTTTGAAAATCAGCAGGTTAGAACTCATTGGAAGAGCACTCATTCATTCTCTTTTCTTTCTGAAGTCGGTACTCCTTCATATCCTAAACTCTCCCTCAATTCAGAACCAGTATTCATCTCTGTATTGCATTATTATGATGACTGCGTCCAGACTAAAAGAGGGCGGAAAAGAAAAGAAAAATCAGGTTAAAATGGATGCAGCATACTTTCTTTACGACACATTTAATTAGCACATAAATTGCTTAAAGAACACTTAAATCACAGGGACGATGACTCATTCCTACCCCTGGAGTAAAAGAGCCTGTAAATACTGTCATACTCACCAATAATGACGATAATGATGATCACAACCACGGCTATCAAAATGGCCCACATCTGCAAAATCAACAAACAAGTATACATTGTCATTTGGTGCCTATGACGGAGCATTCAGCTCACTTTAAGTAAGCAATAAGGTACAAGAGGCTGTGCTGTATCGTGAATAGGTAACATCTGAAGGGCGTCGTTAGGCTCAACGCGAAGTGGAGTAGTAACACCTTCAGACGTTACTTATTCACAATACACTTGCCTCGAGTAATTTATAGCTTTTATAAAACGGTTATCACACAATAAAAATAAAGTAAAAAAATAAAAATGTATTAGTGCAACTTTCATGAAGTAAAATCACTAAAAGCCTTCCTTCCGCTAGAAAAAATAGTCCCTGAGCGTGAACAGCAACAACGGTCAAGTCAGTGTGTAATATGCATGAAAGCTCAAATAAACACAACATAGGAACCGCAGTGTTGCGCAGCGATCAATAGAAGCGTTGGGTGAAGTGGTCATATCCGTGTTTATCATGAATAAAGCACTATTGACCAATCAGAATCAAGGATTCGAACTAACTGTTTTATATATAAAGTAAAAATTCAAAATAATATCCCGGGTTTGTATTGAGGCCACGTTTACAAAAAGCCGGGTATTTAGCGAAACGAATATTTTCCCCCTCTCCGTTTTCAAAAATAACATCGTTCACACACCCGCATAAATACGCCGTCAAGCTCCATCATATCTATGCCAAACCTATTGGCGGCAGTGTAGGGTGAAGGATAAAGCCATGCAAGCCAATCAGAATCCTCAGAATCGACAAGAGGGAACCTAAAACGCCGTTTCTCCCAGTTGACAACACATAACCGGCGTTTTCAGAAACCTCCACTTTTTTTGAAAACAGGAAAAGTAATTCTCTTACTATATTATTTCGAGAAAATAATTATTAATTATATATAAATACATTTATTTATTAATATTTATTCATTCCAGATGACGAAGAACAAAACTTCCAATCATCTTTTCTAAAGCCTTAATATCGATTATAAACCACATTTGAACTAAATGAGTGTATGATATGAATGCTGTCACCTTGACGTTCTTCCACCAGTACTTCCTCTTGAGTTTGGCGGCGCTGGTCTCAAACTGGGAAGCTCCGGCCTGCAGGGCATCGGCACGATCGTCCAGGTCAGAGAGCTTCTGGTCTCGCTCCAGGACCTTATCGACGTTCACCCTCATGATGTCCACCACCTGGAGGGAGACTGCTGTTAGAAGAGCATGAACTCTGCAAAAGTGATGCTAAGGGTCAAGGAATCTTGCCATGTGTGTAAACACACAGCTGTCCGAACACCAGGGAGGGTTATTAAAATGATTTAATGATGTGAGACTTTAGGCAGGATGGTTGGAGACTTCTTAAAACCAGGCAAGCAACAGGAGCATGTCCTTCACTGATCAGCGTTTCACACTAACACTGAAAGAAACCGAGCGTCTTAACCTGACAGAATGGGAAGTTTCCAGAGACATTTGTCCGTCCACACTGAAAGCAAAAATGCTGCAGTGCAGGATACAAAAATATATTTGATGTTTAATACATATAGAGCAGGATTTCAGACTGATTTTACTGTGAAATGACTATCAGGACTGAAAACTAAATACACTTATCTTCTTCAGGCAGGATTTGTCCAACTAGGTCAAGGCTAGATGAACATTTTCTCAGGATTATCCAACATTTGGGAAACCAGTCTTAGCTGGTATTAATATACATTTAAATTTTAACTTCCGCATTAACTGGTACTGGAAGATCATGATGACTCATCCTGTCTGGAGGGACATTTTTCTATTATGACTGTGTTCGAAGACTAAATATAATTCATGACTTTCTATCTGTATTCCTATTGGAATCAACAGCATTTAGTTTGTTTTACAGCATTGATCCATTAATAATGGAGTATGTTTTGAGATTATTATATTTATTTATCAATATTATGATGACGCTCATATTCGGTCTGAACAACTCTTACAGCTTCAGAATGCAGAAGAAATGGAAAGCATAAAACCACCCTGCTATAATACAATTACATAACAGTCAATGGCACACAAACATCTGAGCCTCCTCACATATGCTCTAGTGCTCCACAAACCCTGTTGCAGGATGACAGAGCTCCACCCATTTAAGAGAGATCATGTGGGAGGGGGACCGGCGTGTGCAGATCCATGTTTCTCTTACATAACCATAGTGACGGGCGTTACATAACCAGCCGGCAGCCTATGAGCACAACCCAGACTGAACCAAGATGAATGTTGGGAGAGGTCAACAGTCATTAAGTGCACGGAGACCTGCATAAGACCCGATATGAACTTCCTCAAACAGAAATCATGAATATGACTGCGGTGAGCTGCAGAAGTGGAAATATTACACTGTGCTCTTCACACAGATAAAGTCAACAAGCATGGATTTATTTGATCAAAAATACAGATTTGTTTAATTGTGAAATATTACAATTTAAAACAATGGTTTTCTATTTTAATATACTTTCAAATATAATTAATTTCTTATCCTTATACATGATCCTTCAGAAATCACTCTAATATGTAGATTTATTATAAATGTTGGAAATAGTTAATATTTCTTTTTAACCTGTGCTACTTTTTCAGGATTCTTTGATGAATTAAAATCTAAAAAGAACATTTATTCAAAATAGAAATATTTTCTAACAATATAAATCTTTACTATCACTTTACAAAAAAAAAAAAAAAAAAGAGACCCGAAATATTTGAACAAGTGTATATTGTGACAAAATATTCCTGGTTTATAATAGAATAATAATATAAATGTTTTAACTGTTGCCAAACATTCATACTTTTATTCATCGATGAATCCTGAAAAAAGTCACACAGATAAAAATATTAAATAATTAAACTCAGCACAACTGTTTCCGACATTGATAATAAATCATCATATTATAATGATTTTTCTGAAGGATCATGCGACATTGAAGACTGGAGTAATGATACTGAAAATTCAGCTTTGATCACAAATTTTTTTTTTTTAAGTATATTTAAAATAGAAAACCATTATTTTAAATTGTAATATTTCACAATACTGTTTGTGATCACATAAATCCAGGCTTGGCCTTGGACACGAGCCACTTCTTTCAAAAACATTAAAAATAGTAATGTTTCCAAACTTTTGACCGGTACTGTATATCTATGTATATCTGTATAAACGCAACACAAAATTGTCTAAATGTTTAAATGTCTTCACTGTCAATTGAATGCACTATTGCACAATAAAAGTAAATTTCTTGTCAACAATTTGTTAAGTAAGATTTCTTTTTTTTTTTTTAATAATTAAAATATATTACTTTGAACAAACCACTAACCGCACTAAGTTCATATTTCTATTATACTGGTAGCAAAATTGAGATTTTACTATATCTTGTTCTCATGGATTATGGTCTTCTAATAGATTAGAACGGTACGGAGCACCTAAAGGGACGTGGTGATGGAAAAAATGAGATGGAAGAAAAATATTTCAATGCTTTTACGTTTGCTCACAAAAAAGTTTTGCGTTCCCCTGAGGAACAAAAAAATTTGAATTTAGCAGCAGGCAAAACAGTTTGTCTCATTAAAAAATGTATTCAATGATAGCGCCTAAAACCAGAAGAGTACAAACTCGAATTTTATATAATTTTAATATTGTAGTAGTCATGTTTGAAAGGTTTCGAGGTACATTGTAAAAAAATATTTTCATGATTTGTAATCACAACATTATTTCTTTCGTCAAATCCACTTAAATAATTTATGTAGTTCAGATAACATAATATTTTAAGTTTCTGATGATTAAATCAATCTCATTCATTGCATTAACTCAATTTTTCCATTTCAATGAATTTAAATTTAAGGCAGCCAGGTTACATAATTTTCTAAGTTAAACCAACAATATTTTTTTACAGTGTACAAAATATTCAAGCACAATAGTAGTCATCATCATGACTCATGCTTGTACATTATTTTACTGGCATTAGCTGTCCTGAAATTGTATAACAGTTAACATCACAAAGGAACCATCCCTGAGAAGATGGAGATACGGAAATGAAGTGGACTATTTCTAGCTGTCCATGGTGTCAGGTGTGTCCTCTTACCTCATCCACCTGTGCCTGAGTCTGCTGAAGCCTGCGGTTACTTCCTGCAGAGCCAGAGCCATCTGCACCCGGGGCGGACCTGTGACAGAGAGACACTCTTACGTTACATTCAAACAAACCTTTGTCAGGACAGCTGGAAAAGTCCAGGCAAACCTACTTGAGCAGTCCGGATCAATTTAAAGTGAATAAAGCTTAGTATAACGTATTCATTACTGCCACTAATGTGATTTGAGCTGTGGAAAAAAGCAAACATACATGTCCTCTTATGTCATTCTAATAGAAATCTAGTGTGACAAACAGTATGTTATATTCTACTGCCACCTAGGGGCTGATAGACTACATAAATGATCTCGATCCAACCGGGAGAACTATTAAAACTACACATTTAAACATAAAAGTCCCGTTTTCAGAATAACACACCATACAGAGGACTTTACAAGAGGATGACAAGTGAGTGCATCAATTCAAAGTGGTGTGAAACCAAATTACAGGAAGATATGTAGAGGCATTTGACGAAAATGGGAGGTATAGATAGATCACTCAAGCTCAAACGAGTTTATTAAAGGAACATTGTGATTTGGATGTGTTAAGCGCTCTGTAAACATCCAAAGACACTGTGAACTAGTTCATAATGAAGATGACATATACGCATTCAGGATGAACCAATTTCACAACTTTTGATTTACAGTAGTCCCAATAATGTCTGAATCATTGCATTAAATATCCAAACCTCGAATCATAATTTCTCACAATTAACTGAGTAATTTTTGCTCAATGACGTTTAATGTGGTGACAAGCAGTTGAACACCGAAGGTAAAGTTTTGCTATTTTTTTTCCTGAGTGTGTAAAAGGTCTCAAGCTAGGCTTTCTGCCGTCTAATGCTGCGGATTAAGAGTGACGACAGGAGACTGAAAGAGAAACATCAGGACTCAATATAGAGCAAAGAAAAACACACACATTCCACACCCAGACGTGGAAGGTACCGTAAGCCTCCAGGTCATGTGATTGTGGCAGAAATCTCACTGCAGACTGAGATCCTCCAGTGTAAGAAACATATGGCGCTTTCTAAATGTAAATTAGACAATGCTGACTTATTAGAGGTGTGTAAATCAGATGTTTCATCACAATACAACCTGACATCAATCAAATATGATATTTGCGACAACTCAAAACATGCTGCGATTCAATTACGATTTGACAAGAATCACGAGCATGCAATTGATATTATGTCCCTATTTTACAAAAGCTGGCTACATTTCTATCAACTCAGATTCAAACCAAAAAAAATTATGAACGTTACACTCAACTTTCTGAAAAGTGCGATTCCTGTTATCCAACTGGGACATCCAGAACAAAATACACTTCAACAATATAGAAAAATAAACGATTCTGAAGAACACATTATTTGATGTTAAGTTTTTCAGGTTGGTATAACTATACATTACCAAGTTGAGCAAAGAGTTTTTGGTATTTAAATAGTTTTTTGTTGTTCTTTACATTGATGTGAAAAATGACTTAGATTTGTGACATTACTTGATGTAGGCTAGTGCTAAAACTGCTGTTCACTTTCAGAAGTTGTAATGATGCTTTCTTTACCCATGAAAGAATGTGCAACATATATCATTTTCAGTTTTTAAATGTAATTAATACCTATTTTACACACTTTTAAACAATATTGTGTCACATATCAAATATCGCATTATTTAACAAGTTACCACAGATGCATATTGCATTTTTCTACAATATCATGCAGCCCAAGATACATCATATCTTTGTTAATTTGATTCATTGCATCAATGCAGATATCACTAGAGCTGATGATATATCTTACAAGTAATTAAACAAAACCATTTCATTTTCTGCTCTCAAACTTGATTTTCCAATCGGAAAACTATTCCAATTCTGTTACATTTATTCTAGCATCAAACATAATCATGTCAGTAATAACATCCAGGGAGAGCTAATCTGACACAGACTTCTAATTAAGTCACACACATCCTTAGTAGTACAATAAAGCCATAAAAAGGTGAGTATTTTATAACTGTTCATTAATAAATCGATAAAAAAAACATCATAAAGCATAACAAACCAATAGCTAAAGTGCATTTAATATGATTATAACATTAAAAGTTGCATTTCTGATGAATTTTTCGTACATGTACTAATGATCTGTAAACAGAGTTATCATATTTGATAGTTAATTAGAGCAAAACAAGAATTTTTAAATTATGTGGGAAGGAAATTATTCTCAGGTTAAGTCCTGAATTAACCAAGAGGTTAAAATATATCTTTAAATAAGTACTACTTTTATTACAATTATTAATATACACGTAAGTTATATATAAAGTTGATCATACACTGTTTATTAGGCTACGTCACCAAAAATATCAGTCAACGCATATTAAGTTAACTAAACTGCAATCAGGCTGTTGAAATTGTGTGAAATTATATTTGGTGAGGCCAATTTCACTAACTTATACTTATTTTATGAATCGCTTTATATTAACGTTAAATCTCCACATTTCCGCCGCAACTTCGCTAAGCATCCGCATTAAAAAAGTCAAAAGACAACTCCCATTTATGTAATTTAAACAACAAAAGACAAATCACATGTGATATTATAATGGTAAAATGTGTGTATTTAGACTCCGTTTGATGTTTCAAGTTTTCACAAACTTTGTTGTCAGAAAAAAAGCTGTTAGCCGTTAGCATGTAGCGGATATACAAATATATACGGTCTAAAACTCTTTAATTGACAAAAAAGTTCACTGTTGGCGTCATTTGAGCTGATTCCAACTAAAAGCGACTTAAATTAAACTCCGAGAGTGAAAAAAAAAAAAAAGTAAAAATTCAGTAAGCTAACCTGCTACGCTAACCTGTTGATTTAGCAGCATTCACACCCATTAGCACAACACACACTTGACAAACACACCCAGAAAGACTGATATTCATGAACACGTAAAACACGACATTAAATATAGATAAGTTACTGTATATGGAATCATTGAGCTCGTTCGAGTGATGTTGGTGCAGTTTTACTTACATGTTTGTTGAATTGATGTGTGAAGGCCCCGATTATACTCCAGCTAACTTACTACTGTGAGCGCGCGAGTGTGTGTTTGTATGTGCGCGTGCACAGAAAAAATCCAGACAAGTTGAAAATGGCTTTTCATATTAGTATTAAATTTTCTGTAAAATAATACTAATTAATATATATATATATATATATATATAAACCATAGTATACTGTCGTATATTACATTTATTTACTGTGATTGCTTGGCTATAATTATAAATATATTTAAATGTAGGCTACATTTAATTATAGTTGTAGTGTAACGAATGCATAATAAAAACTATATAATGTATAGTGTATATATGTATGCATATATGAATAAATATATATTTACTGTTTAATATCATAAAAACAAAGAAAAGTTGCAGAAAAAAGGGACAGTATGAGCAACATTTCTCTTTTAAGATTTTATTTTACAGCAGAAATTATATAAAGCATTCAGAAAACATTTTCCATATTTTAAGGGCAATTCAAAATGTTTTGCATGGCTTCAGCAGCTGAATATTTATTTATTTTTTATTTTTTTAAAACATATCCAACAATTCAGTGATGCTCTCACATGCACAGTTACAAAACAAAAATAGATAAATCAAAGTAAATAAATAAAACTCACAAGAAGGACAGAAAGAGGGAGACGGCCGAGAAAACAGAACATGAGGCAAAACTCATTGGAGGAGGAAGAGGAGGAGGATACGAAGGGCACAAAGCAGGTATGAGAGAAAGAGAGAGAGAGAGAGAGAGAGAGAGAGAGAGAGAGAGAGAGAGAGAGAGAGAGAGAGAGAGAGAGAGAGAGAGAGAGAGAGAGAGAGAGAGAGAGAGAGAGAGATTGAGGGGGAAACAGAGGTCTAATACTAGCTTCACATGCAGAGTTTTGAAAGCCCACTGCCCTGTAAGAAATATGGGCTCATATTTTATATATTTTTTTATTATTATCTTCATTTTAAAATGATGAAAACGTGCATTAGGGCTGGGGAATATGAAATCAATGTCCACAGACCATTGAACACCTCTCTCTGTGTACCTGTAATTGCATAAGAGGAAGTGAACTAAGCATGTCCCAGTGTTTTTATTTTTTTTTATACTTATCCATATTCTTTCAACCTAAAGAGCTCAGCTAAAATCAAAGTGTTTATTGCTCTGTACTTGTAAGTGAAAAGCTTATAATCGAGTGGTTTATCGGTTCAGTTTAAGCCTAAACTGCATTTGGAGTTCCAAAGAGAAGATTTAGGACATCGTATACAAACTTCCAACTGCACCAATAGTGTTTTCCCTCGTTCAGCTAAAACCTTCAGGTGTGCTCATCCATCAAGATACAGCACACACACACCTCTCTCACACACACACACACACGCTCGTACCAGAGCTTGGAGAGGGACTTAAACTCGGATGGTGAGCTGTACAAAGTGCATATTTCTCTTATCTGATGCAAAAATACGGAAAGCATGATCCGGTCGACGTAGATGCACGTGTACTGAGCCTTTTCATAAGAGGACGGGATCTCCCACCTTTATTCTGAAGGTATTTGGCGCTGAGGTATACTTATCATGCATTCCCAATCCCATGGGGATATGGCAATACTAAATGAGCGATGATACCTGCACGAACGATGATACCTGCTCAGTTTTGGAAAAATGGTCTAAAAACTCTATAAACACACACACGGTCTGTCCTGTTCCCCGAGTCTCCGAAAGCAGTGGTTTGTAACAAAGTGAACGTTGTAGTACATATTCCCAGTGGTTTCTGAGCGGAATCTGGAGACTTAAGCTAACCTAATCTAGTCTCCATGCTAAACACCCTCTCCCTGTTTAAGCACCCTGAGTAAAACTACAAAAGGGAGGCAGATTTTTCTCCCTTCCCCAAGATGAACGACCCAAACAGAAAGTTACTGAGATAACCACATATACCCCGTGATCCATAAACAGATTTTCCTGGTGAATTCTGACTCTCGCTTATAATTTCCTGAAGTTTGATGTTGGATGAACGTTATGTGGATTAAAAGGACCAACTCTCCGAGCTTTGCAAGGAGTTGTGCTCTTGAATCTAGCAATGGTTTCCGGACGAAATTACATAATGCGCCAAGTTCACCGAGCACGTCCTACTTTCCTGGCCCAGTTTAGATCAAACATGGAAAAGTACACAAACTGAAAGAAATAATGAAAGCATGCATAGTGTGTTACTGGGTCACTCAAATTCGCTTTAGGACACATAATGTGAACCAAAGAGAATGAGTGGGGGACAAAATAGCAGGTGCCTTTACTCGGAGTGAAAAGGGAGTTTGAGAGGAGGAAACAGACTCCTGTTTGGACAGTAAAACCAGCCTTTAGCGTTGCATACCATTAAAAAAACAGAGCAATTGGTTCATATCGACTTCTTTAGGAACACTTCCTGATATTGGTTGAATTTTTAGGCACTTTCTATTATAATACTGATACAGAGTCACTGAGGTCATGAGGAACATGTTTAACTTCTAAAGCAATGGATCTAAATGTGGGGAATTGAAGATAAGCACCACATTCCTTCTTTCTTTTTTTTTTATTAACAGGCAAAATGTGCTGGTGTAAGTTAAAACGATGCCTCTCGTCAGCTGAAATCGCTTTGGAAATTCAGGGGGTCTCGGTTAGTCTCAAATTTCTGTCAGGGAAATTTGTGAACCTCGTCGCGCTCGATTCCATATAGCTAACATTAGCATAAAACAACAACAAAAGTACAAAAATGATTTCGCGTGGCTCGACCATGGGGTTTTTGAATGTTGGTAGCAGCCCCCCAAGAAATGAAGAAATCAAAAATAAAGCTATGATTATGAACACATGGCAGTGGACGTTTTTTAAGCTACATTCAGGACCGTTTGATACGCCCTTGATTCCTATTTGGGATGTGACACAAGCATGTAATCACGTGTGTGGGAATCGCCTGCTTGAAATAACCATTCACAACCCTCAAATCAATATCGTTTTTAATTGCATGACCTACTTTTAATCCTGCTAACTCCATCCAATACCATTGCTCACGTTGAGTTAAAGTAGATGGTGAACATTTTCTAGTCATGTTATACAAGACAAAAACCTGTGGAGACATTTCATCCTCTGTATCACAGCTATACTGTTGGGTGCATGAGTGAAGTTCGGTCATTCAATCAATACTAGTTCTCCCAATACTGTGAAAATCTGCTTCTCGAAGGAATAGCTTATTTATGTCCTGTAGTATTCTAGTCACCAGTGGTAAAAAAACCAACAAAAACAAAAAACCAACAAAAAAAAAAACACTATTTAATTCTCGCTAACCCTGAAAAAGAAAGACGGATTTGTTTAGCTCTCCCGCTAAATCTACGGTTTTATCGTGAATCATGTCATGCTTCAGAAACCGTTCTGTGAAAGAACATTTCCAAGAAAGTCTTATAGTGAAGTTGCTCAAATCGTATTACAGACCATTGCCACTACATCTTTACATTATGTTCAATGTCTTAAAGTTTCATGCACATGGCTCCTTCTTCGCAACCAATATTTACAATATTTACATACAATACAACCGTACATCTTGGGTGTTCAAAGAAAACTATACAATAGATTTTTTTTTAGTTTGTCTCTTAATGTGTTATAATCCAATTTATGAATAAAATACTATATATTCTTAAATACAATCCTCTTCGGAAAAAGTTTCTGGCTATCAATGTTCCTTCACCCATCTTCTATATGTACAGGGACACCTCAATAGTCAAAAATAAGGATTTTTTTAAGCTTCTGTATAGGGACCCTTCAAAAAGTCAAGAAGTCAAGGCAATGTTCAGTGAAACTCCATGGAAAAGCTTGTGGCGGCTTTCTGGAGATCTTTGAAATGAAACAATGAAGACACACACACACACGCACACACATACATACACACAAATGGAAGATAACCTTTGCAAATATACGTCTGGCGCTGTGGCACAATTGATAGAACAATTTACATTAAAAAAAGTCCGGAGATTATTTCAAACCTTTTAAAAGGTTTTAAGCCCACACAATAATAATAATAATAATTAAAAAAAAATACAATAATGCAAATAAAATAAATAACTGAATTATATAAAAATAATGGTCTTTATAACAACATATTTGGAAACAAACAGGCTTATACAGGCTAGTTTGATGGTGCCACAATATCACCAATTTGAATGAATGAAAATAAAACACAAAACATTTACGTCAGCATGCAGGAGCGTTTCGCTCAAACACATGCACTGTATCCAGATTCAATTCAACAAACACAGGACACACAAAGTCAGGCCAGCAAAAATGACATTAAGAAAAGGACCCATAAGAAAGTCGAAAACAGTGCACACGAAACAGGTAACCCAGAGGGCTTTGCTTCAGTTCCCCAAGTTGTCGTCAGAAGTCCCCAAAACCCCATAAAGACAAAGGTAAGACACTGATATTTCAAACCCAGCATTTTGCCCTGACCCCCATCTACATTCATATGAAGGCTTCCCTTTGTAATGAACGGACAGCATTTGCAAAAAACAAAGATTCGTGGAGATACTCTGCATGCATATGGTCACTGAAATGAGGCCTTTTTTTTTGGTTTACATTTTCTAGGTTTTGTTCTTTTTTTTGTTTTTCCCAAACCGATTGTTGTATTTTTTTCCTTTCAAAATATAAAAATGTAATCTGAAGCGCCTTCCAGCGTGACGTTTTCCCGCCTGCTATGATCTGTTCGTGTCGCGTGATATTTTACAAGCGTCGTAGGAATAAAAAGCCTTTGCTCCTTGGTCTTCGTTCGTTTTTTTCCCTTTTTTTTTTGTAATCTAAAGAAAAAAAATCTATGAGAAGTGCAAAAATGCCATGAAGATAATGTCATATTTTCCCAAATGTTCATCCGTAGCGAGAAAATTCACAATGCAGGAGCAGAATCAGTCACAACGCTGCTAGAGTTCAACCGTCGCATTTCCGATGAGTTCCACTTCTTGTGTAATTTGAGCTTTTTTTTTCGTAAATTGTTTGTCTCTTGTAAAAACGCAGTGAAGAGGAAGAGAACAGTCCGCTCGGAGATGTTACACTGCGACGGGGCTCTTTGCGGCGCTCTCATGTTCCTTGGCCTTTCTCAATTCTTTCGCCCTGAAAATAGACCAAAAAAAAAAACAACAGAGTATTGTAGGGTTAGCCTTAATAGTTCACAAGCATTCTGCGCCCTCAGAGGAATCACACACCATTAGCCAATACACCTGCCAGTTTCTTTAGTGTATCCTCACTGGAATCAGCAAATAACAACAAATATACCCGCTATTAATCACAAAGGTACACAATACACAGATACATCGGCTTATAAAGAGACACTTAATGTCTGAATGTCATTGCATAACAATAAATCAAAAGCAAGAATCATTTATTCATTTATTTTTTTCTCAAGATACTCGGTTTGATTTTTTTGCATCTAATCCAATGACATTCACACATTTTTAAATGTGATTTAAAGGAGTAGTTCACTTTAAAAAAAGGTAATTTACTCACCCCCATGTCATCCAAGATGTCCATGTCTTTCTTTCTTCAGTTGAAAAGAAATGAAGGTTTTTGATGAAAACATTCCAGCATTTTTCTCCATATAATGGACTTCAATGGGAACCAAACGGTCCAAAAGACAGTTTCAGTGCAAACTTCAAACTGTTCAAAGGGCAAAACGATTCCTGACGATGAATAAGGATCTTATCTAGCGAAACGATTGCTCATTAAAAAAAAAAAGTTTAAGTTTTATGAGCTCAAATGCTCGCCTTGCTCTGTTCTGTGATGTGCGTTCGTGACGCTCCTGTTCGAACTCGTTTATCAAAATGAACAAATCTTTTTTCGTGTCATTTGGTTCATTCAAAGAACGAAATGAACGAGTTGACTCGGGAAAAGATTAGCTCATTTTGAAAAAAAAAAACCTAATTTTGAGTTTGAATAGGAGAGTCACGAACGCACATCACAGAACAGAGCAAGGCGACCATTTGAGCTTATAAAACTTAAACTTTGTTATTTATTTATTAAATGAGCGATCGTTTCGCTTGATAAGACCCTTATTCATCGTCTGGAATCATTTAAAGCCCTTTGAACAGTTTGCACTGAAACTGTCTTTTGGACCTTGAACCTTTTGGTTCCCATTGAAGTCCATTATATGGAGAAAATCCTGGAATGTTTTCATCAAAAACCTTCATTTCTTTTCGACTGAAGAAAGAAAGACATGGACATCTTGGATGACATGGGGGTGAGTAAATTATCAGCAAAAGTTTTTTAAAAAGTGAACTACTCCTTTAAGAGTCCAAATCTTTTTTGGCTGCTGTATAGAACAAATGTATTTCAATAGAATTGTGTACATTTAAGAGTCTACAATCAGATTACAAAGCAAACATATATTATTATTATTATTAATGAATAAAAACCGGGCCTTTAAAACTACCATCCATCTTAACACTATAGGATTATTATAACCTAGAAAGTGTGACAATACATAACTCATGCACATTACATCACAGAAATTACATCAAATTCTTAATGAAATATTTACGTTTTTCATCATGTTATTCTTCTACAGTATCCAACATTTTAAAGACATTTTAAACCCCCAAACACATCTTCAGCTCACAGTTTGACCCCCGTCCCACCCTCAGCCCCCAAATCGAGCTTATAAAAGCTGAAAGAGATGTATAAAACAGGCAGCCAGGCATTCAAGACATTTCTCTTCCATAAAGAAAGGATTGTTATTTCAAGCATGCCCTGATAGAAGCAAGGCCTCCATATCTTTAGCATCATGCAATTGCCAAATGCACTACCCAGCAGTCCTTAGTGTTGTCATAAGCATCCTCATTACAAGAGAGATGGAGGAGACATTTGGGAAGATAGAGGGATTGAAGGAGAGACTGAGAGAGAGAAAAAAGAGAGAGAGAGAGAGAGTGCTTTGTTAGTTTTGCCATTAATGCTTCATCTATATTTATTTGTTAGTTGGATCCATAGTCCTCTCTCTCTCATATAAGGCTCAGTCAACTCGGGCTCCAGTCAGCCGTCATGCATGCAGGCATAAAACAATCGAGAAAATAAGATAAAAGAAAAGAGGGAAAGAAAGGAGAGATAGAGTCATAGTCTGAAATCAAGGATCATAGACATAGAAAACGGAGAACTAGATGAAAGAAAAGGGAGAGACAGAGAGATAAAAGAAGAGAAATCAAGGGGTACGAACTGATTTACTGAGGCTGCACTCACCCGTTTGAATAGTCTATGGTCCATCAAGGGGCTTTGCATAAACAGCAAAACAACACCAGACAGCTATTAGTACACACTGAGGTACGGTTGGGTTGGGGAAATGGGACCAAACACATTAGGGCTTTCTAACAGAGCCATGAAAACACCAAGGTGCTATCCTATGACTCCTGGCAATCGTGTTGGTGTGACTGAGAGAAATGTGCCCATTAGACGTGCAAGTATACCATAGTGTGAGTATGTGCAAGCTAGAAGAACATCAGGGCCGTAGGTACACAACGTGCCTGGCCTTTGGCCTACCTGTGGCGGCACCGCAGCAGAAACCGCATGATTTTTCTGGCAGCTTGGTCTTGTCTCTTGGTCAGTAAACTGCTTCTAAAACAAAATGATTAGCTTGAGTGGTTATGCACACTTGCAAATAAAACCAGGCATTTATAGAAGAAAAATGCACGCACAAAAATGTTTTGCTACGGCGAGATGCTCGCTAATACTTAGCATTAGGAGTTTGTTCAAATAAATAGTAATAAGCTGCACTACCATAACGGATTAAACTGCAATTGCTGCAACAGGTTGTGTGACAACAAATGGCACACAAAAATAATGATGCTTCTATGTGTACTTGGACTCAAACTGTTAGTGAATTAAATCATTTCCCGGGGTCCGACTGGCACTGTTTCAACAACAGATTGTCTCTTAAAGTAAACGGGAGGGTTTTGAATGCTACCATTCTTCAGAAAGTTGATTTGGCAGTGTGTCACATTTGAAGTGCTGGCAAGTACTCCAAAAAGACTGCATTTTAGAGCCACAGTCCCATAACTTGAGGTGCAACGACACTCAATAAATGCATGCATAACCTCCTATGCAGGAATGATATAAAGATGGAAAGCTTTTTCATTATTTCGATCATGACTACTGGAGTTGCCAAAGTGCTCACACCATAAACAGTGTTCCTTTTATGAATTCTGAATTTTTATACACTAGGCCATAGATTTGTAACCACTAGGTTTGCCCTGTAAGAATGCTTTGTACCTGAGTTTGTGCTGCACCAGTGCAGCCGCAGTGGCTCGGCTGCGTGGGTTCGGCCGGCTGAGCTCTTTGTAGCTGCGGTAATATTGCTGGATCAGCACGGCTGCCCTGCGACTCTGCTGGAACTTCTTCTGTTCGTGGTAGCTGCGGAATTTACTCTGGATAAGGATGGCGGCCAGCGTCATCTTCTTATAAAGTGCATACTGTCAAGAGGACAGAGAAACAATCTTGTGTCACAAGATCTGTAGCAAACTACAACATTAGCCACTTGGCAAATCCAAAACAAATAGAGTGCCGAAGTGATGACGTCACTTTGTAGGACAACTCGGAAGCTAGTGGCACGTGCGTTCCCTCGATCGAAAAGCTATGCATTTTCCCCATAGACTTTTGGAAAATCGCAAAAAATAAGATCTGTGTTTAACAAAGAGTTGTGACCCTTACACGTTTTGTCTATCAAGATAATCTTTACAAGTTAATCCAAAATTTATACATTTTGAAGCCTATATAAAGTTTTTAAAAACACAATCAGACACAATAAAGTTTACAAAACCACTGGCAGGCTATAACTGTGTGTTCTATGTCATGGATCAAAACGTGAAAATATTTAGAGGCTTTGTTCACCGCAGACCTTATTTCAGGCAATTTAGCAAAAACCCATTCAAAAAACTAGAGGTCGACCGATATGTTTTTTTTCACGCCGATGCTGATACCGATTTTGTCGGCCGTTTTATTTTGGCCGATATTTGCTTGGTTTTTAACCTCTATTTGAAAGAAAAATGTAAAAGAAATGATAATTACTTAACATAGACAAACTTTCTCAACAAAAACATTTTATCCTCTCAAAAAATGTCCTGAAACGTGTATTTTTGGCTTGTTTTGTTTGTTGACGGACAAAGACAAATGGACATAGCCTAATTATCACAAAAAAAAGGAGAAAAAAAACTTTATTATATTTTATTTACTTTAACTTCTAACAATAACGTATTTCACTAGTAAATTGCTGTTGAACGACAAAAACAACCACCAGATGGGAAAATGATATTTTACAAAAACTTTAAATGCACCACAGCGCACCGTCCGTCTGTTCTTCAGACAACGGCATCCCGCTGTTGGACCTTTTAGTCTACAGTGAAATACAGTCACACTTTACACTGTTTGGCCAGCATTTTAACCATGTTTAATCCAGCTACTAACTAACAGTCAGTGTTGTGCCTGAACGCGTTCATATTTAGGTCTGCTGCTCACTCGGCTGGAAAATGACTCTAGCGGCAGCGTGCGTCAAACACGTGTTCAACGACAACACTAGGCTGCCCACTGATGCGCCTGCTTAATAAGCTTGATATACTTGGATATTGGCCGATGCCGATTATATTAAAAAAATGCCACCGATTAATCGGTCTACCTCTACAAAAAACCCATAGACTTTAGGGCGAGGGAACCGGTAGTGCTAAAATGCTAACTCTTTTCCGCGTTTTGGCCTACAGAGTGACGTTGTAACTTCGGCACTCTATATAACTAGGTGGCTGACAGCTGGGCCATTGCATGTCAAAAGTAGCTAAATAACTAAACCTTTCCGAGCAGGCTGCATGATATGAGCTAAATTCATCTTTGTTCAAATCCATAACCTTAAGTATAGGAGATAGTAACAGTGATTAAGAAGCACCACTAACAAATGTCCATTTTAAAGCAGTAGAAGTTGTAGATGAAGCAGGAAGTTTTACCTTCAAGGCTATCCATGTCAGCTTGAGAAAGAGAGAGAAAGGAATTTAAGGTACCGTTTAATAATTGATCATTTAAAAACGTGTACAAACAGAGGTTTCTGAGTGTTGTCGGCCTACCTGTTTGTACCTCTTATAACAGCGCTGAATGACAGCAGCTGCCAGTTCCTGCTGCTCCCGAAGTGGACGACCCTGCAGGATGGGGGAAGAGGGGGATAAGGTAGGGTGGAGAGGACAGGAGAGAGATTAGTGTTCACAAGGAGGCCTGCAAGGCCACAGAGATGATGCCATCTGATTCCCTTTGTGCCTGGCCAAGGTGTCCTCTTAGACTGGCAAAGTTGCGTCGATATGCTCTGAGACCTGGGAGAAGGTTATTCTTCGCCAGCAGAAATCTGCTCTGAACAACCAATGTGGTGTGGACTCAGGGATATCTGCGCATCCCGTTAAAACAGACAGATAGATAGAGGGAACAATGCAATCATTCCTTATAGCAAGGCCATGCTAAGCTCAAGCAAATTTCCCCATGCTTGTCTACAACACTGACCCTATCTCTGCCTTTGGAGCGCACACCACAACAATCACCTTTCATGTCCAAAGATCTGGGTTGATATACCTTAAGTTCAAGAACACCATACAACACAACACAATACACCAAGACCTTTGAAACTGGACCACCACGAACACTGGCAACACACCACCAATAACCTACATAGGTGACACCTGGTGACTGGCACCTGGGTGAAGCCCTGCCCTACCTTGTACTTGCGGAAGGTGTTCTGGACCTGGCGGGCTGCCTCGTAAAGTTCTCTCTGTTCGGGATCGGACAGGGCCAGCTGGGTCAGGTCACGCTCCTCCTTGTTGTGGGAGGCGTTGAGAAGTGCAGTCCACTCAGTGGGGGACTGAAAGCCAAGCTTCCCAAGAGGACCGTCGAGTTCCGGCTGTCCTCCACCGTGGACTGAGGCCAGGCCAGGAGAGTGAGTTAGGGGCTTGTTGAACAGGAACCTGGGAATGATTGGGAAAACAATTACATACAAGAACCCAAAGAGTTTCTTGAGAACAGATCAACTTTATGATGAATCACCTCTCTGCATCTCCAAGGTAACTGGCCAACCAGCTCATAGTGCTGCTGACTCCAACACCGTCTAGTGTAGTGTCTGATGCCACAAAGCTTTCCCTCTTGATGCGATCAGACGTCGCCTCAATGACTTCCTCCGCTAAAGTCATCATGTTCATGTTCTGAAACAAATTGTTAGGTACTTTTAAAATCGCACCAGTAATGTTCATGAGCTCCAAAAAGTGACGGATTTACAGGACGGATAGCGAATAATATTGGCACTGAGACACTAGACAGAAGCCAGAACGTGTTTTGCGAGGTCTGTCAGACTTAAAGCACCACACTCGTCTCAAAGTACCTTCTCTATGCCTCACCTGCAAGTCTCCGGTGTTCTCCAGATCCTCTTGGCTTGTACGCAGATCAGAGATCGTTCCAGCGCTAGCAACTTCTCTTAATCTCAGTCTGTTCGCGAGCCTTTCCTTGCCAAGACCTACAGTTGGCACTCTGCGTCCTGCAGCCTGTCTGGATCCCCAACGCCCGCCTCCACAAGCTGAGCCAAGCTTAGTCTGAGACTGCTCACCATCTCCCTGCTCTTTCTCTACAGTACCTTCCCTCGGTTTGGAAGGGCACGTTTTAGGCTTGTGGGCCTGTTCTTCTAGTCCGAGAGGGGCAGAGCAGGATTTGCTGGGCCGAGTTTGAAGGGTCTCTGGATTGGGTTTGTGTTTCTTGCTCAACGGGGCGTCCCCGTGACTAACGCTGCTATAGAAACTGGATGGTTCTGACCTGGGTCTCCTCAAGTCTGCAAAGGTATGAAGAAAGTGCCAAAATGAAGAAGACTTGACCAAATTGAAACACTCAACCTGACCTTTGCAAGGTCTTGCTATTATTTAACTTTATGGAAGTAAAGCAAACCAACTGGCAGAATAAAAGATTCCAGTTCTCACCTGAGCTGGAGCTGGAAGCAGGACAAGTGATGCTGCTGTCTTTCAGCTCCGTACCCCAAACATTCATCCACCCCTCTGCTGCTGAGGCCTCAGTAGATGTTGAGAAAGGCATGCTGGCAGTTGTATTCAGTGCTCCTGACTGCTGCTCCTCCCTCTGAAGGCTTTCCAGACATTCGGCCAGCTTAGTGTGGCCACGGGATCTGGCTATAGCCAGCGGTAAGCGACCCAAAGAATCTGGGATGGCCAACGCTCGCCGATCCCATTTATACAAAACCACTGCTGCTTCCATATGACCCAGAGCGCAAGCCCACATCTGAAGACATGATGAAGAGTTACATTTAATTTGTGTGCCATATTCTATATGAAACTTGAAAGGGATTATGTCCTAGTGTCAATACTCACTAGTGGGGTACAAGAAAAATGATCCACGTTTAGAGGATCAACCTCAAGTTCCAGGTCAATGCTGTCTGCATGCTTAGTGCTGTGAAAACAAACAGAACAGAACAGGTGAATGATGTATATGCGATATATATGGGCATTTCATGCCAGTTTGCAATCAGTATACGGTACTCACCGCCACTTGATTAGTGTTTGGATAAGGGTGGTGTAGCCCTGGGCGGCTGCCAGATGAAGAAGAGTCATGCCCCTGAATGTTTTGGAGTGGATCAGGTGCTTGGACTTGGCCCAGCAGGCGCGGTTCATCATTTTTTCACAAACCACCACCACACGGCTCTCAAAGGAGCTGCCAGCCGGACCTTGGCCCTGGCTCTGACTCTGACCAGGTGAGAACTACACCAAACAACAAAGAACCAAGTCAATTCTAAAAAGCTAATGGTGATATCCGTTAGTTTAGAGCTAGACAGCATGGCTCAAAAGGATACCTGTGCCTGCTCAGAATTGCTTCTTCCTCCTTCTCCTCCTCCTGTTCCGGTTCCTCCGCTCTCAGATGATCCTCCACCGCCTTGTTGCTGCTGCTGTTGACCGGCCATCTCTGCCATCCTTCGCTCCATCTGCTCTAGGCGTTCCAGGATGGACATTCTGAACTGGTTATCTGCATAAAACACGAGGAGAATTTAGACTGCTGTGGATACATTTCAAACACCTTGTTTTTTTTATATTTTAAACACAGTGAACTCTGGGTTGTTTTAACCCAGTGTTGGGTAAAATATGGACAAAAAGTTTCATTTTTAACCCAATGGCTGGGTTTGTCCATATTTTACCCAAAATTGGGTTGAAACAACCTAGCATTTTTAGAGTGAAGGACTTTGAAATCATGTACTTTCTTAATTCACATTCCCGGTCTGATTCATCAGTGCGTGTTATACCAAAGAAAACAAAATGTTTGTCTTCATAATCTTGGCAAATTTCAGCTGACATCACCAATGCCATTTATAGGTGTGTTGCATTGGTTCAAGGTTTTTCAACTGCAGTATTCTGCTGTAGCAGGTGGAAAATCACTGGTATGAATACCAAAACATGAGTCCCGTCTTATATTATTTCCAGATGAATATATTGTTTAACTCAAAAAAATATGTCATGTTACAGACGTAAAATGGGTTTCACTTCGATACCCTAAATGGGTCAACTATATGATATTTTTTTAATCATTTTTTTATAAGTTATTTAAAAACATCTCTTTTTTATATCTAGTGCAAATAGGCTGCAATTCTTAAAAAACAGTTTTAAATGGTATACTTTTTTTTTTTTAAATGTACAAAACCTACACAATAGTATCTAGTTGCACATCCTTTGTCCACTTTAAAAAAATGATTTCCAGCGACTACGTACGCTCATAATGTATTATTTTGTTATAGTGCCGGCTAACATCAATACAAATTTCTTGCAAATACCATATTGGCACCAGTTCTGTTTCACACATACTGAATGAAAGCGAATCAAATTCTAATGAATGGAGATACACATATGCATTGGATTCTGTGCTTTTCCTCCATGAACATCCACCCTTGCAGACAAAAAGAGCAGCTCTGAGTGGAGCTCCAGTGCAGCTTTGTTCAAACACTACTGCAGTGTTGGTGCAGTGCAGATGATGTCATTTCCACCTGCTGCTGGCTGGCTGGCTGCCTGTCTCTCTCTCTCTCTCTCTCTCTCTATCGCTGCCTCCACTCAGAATGCGGCACACGTACGCTCATGTAGGCTGGGGGAGGGGAAAGGGGAGGAGGGACCAAATTGTTCTACAACGGGGCTGTGACATAATCAACGCTCTACTACACCTCCAGCAGCCTGGAGACGACCAATCAGATGCCAGAAGACCAGCCAGGCAACAGAACACTTGAAAGCTTTGTGTCAAACCTAAAACTGTTGAGGGGCAGCGTTTCAAAACAGACAGACCTAACTCATGTTTATTAACGCAGAGATGGAGGATGTTTACGGAAAATTGATGCGTTGCATCGGCTGTGAATATATACGGTGAATTCAAGGTAACTGAACCACTTTTTCGCAGTCGTTTCAATGTCAAAAAGTGTCCCAATGTATCAGAGATCCTATACAAAATCAGCTCTTAAGACATGCCACAACAAACAAATGCATGAAAAAATTTAACATCATGCAGCCTTATGAGTTCCAACTTTTAATATGAACTTAAAAAAGGTCAAGATTCTTCAAAAAGCTGCAAATACACACGAAAGTATTTTAAAATGACATGTTTGTGTGCATAAATCCCGATTTTCCAAGCAACCAACAACAACCTTCACTAACACAGACCAATGATGAACCTCATGCATAAACTAGCCCCCCAAAAAACATCAACAGTACTAAATAGACTGTGCCAATCTCTGTTACCGTTTTCCAGGAGATGTTACATCAGCCTTGGTGCTGCTCCTTTGGCCTGGGTATCTCTCCTGGTCAAGCGGACCTCATGAGGGTGAGCACAAGCCTTGAGTGAAAGGACTAAACTCTCTACTCGCTGGATGTTTGAGAATCTCATGGTAATATCCTAATGCAGAGAGCTCAAGCCGGTTTCTCTATTTCATCACAGTTGCATCATGCTCTTGAGAGTGGGGGCTTCTGCACCACTTTACAGCTACAAGAGCAACAGGGGCTCAAAATCACTCACTTGTTGAAGATCTGTTGCGGTTTATTGTGCCTGAGATTGGTAATAAAGAGACTATGAGCATCAGAATTGAAACAATGCATCCATATGGCTAGGAAGAATTAATGCACATTAAACCGCACCTGCTGACAGTCTTGTTTTGCACATGAGGTAAAAGTGCAAAATTAGTGCAGAATGCAATTTGCACAGAGCAAATCCCCATCATGCAGGCCAGTTTGGAAGAAGGCATACTATGTCCGAATATATTAACAATCATGAAAGTCCATAAATCTACAACATGCATTTGGCAATATGACACTCTTCTCCAGCATTTGATGAAAAACAGCCGGCGGCATCTCTCTAAGAATGACAATTATATAGCATTAAGTAATAAAAAAATGCATGTCAGAAATAAGTCTAATGCAACAATGTGGAGGGAAAATAAGTTTTTATGACGGTCTTGATTGTTTATTGAATACTGGATGATTGCTTTGTAATTTCCCCCCTGAGCATATCCAATATTTGCTGCATCTGAGCTCAGAGAGCATATTGACTTTTTATTTTTAAGGTTTTAAATAGACAGAGCTCATGCTCTGCTGAGCATTTCCACAAGGATTTGCTTTAAATCTATAACAGACTGATATCCTGTTTAAGCCCATCACTATAAATGCATCGAACAGAAATGGAAAAAAAACCCACGAAATCACACAAATGTCCCTTTCGACAGGATTTAGCTGATAATGTGCAATGATTTTGTCTTAAGGGGATTTGAGTCAAAGCTGGGATAACAGCTCCTAAAGCTGTGGACATTGGTAGATCTGGTAGATCATGACCCTGGAATAGGTGCTTGTTTTGGATAGAATTGGACTGAGTGCTATGATAATGCCATTATATCTCTGTCAGTCATAATCCCAGCACTGATTATTCGTATTAACTTTCCACATCTAACCCGAAACATCCCTTTGTAGCAATTTGAACTCACATTTAAGGTCTCTGATTGAGATTTGTAAGATAGCCTCCGACCAGAACTTTGAAGGACTCCAGTACAAAGACTTTGAATCTAAAGCACTCTTATTGTTTATGTGTAAATGTTTTATGTCCATAATATATTCGACTATCTATAGGTTTTTATGCATTTACATCTGCAAGTAATGGGCCTTCAACAAAGAGTTTTACTGCACTTAAAGTACTGTGGTCATTTTATCCATCAAGAGAATTTTGCAAAATGAGGAAGATATTGACTGAAAAATTGGAAACATTTTACAGAAAAAAGTAGGGCTGTCAAACGATTAATCGCATCCAAAATAAAGGTTTGTGTTTACATAATATATGTGGGTGCACTGTGTATAATTATTTTATATATATAAATACACACACATGCTTGTATTTAAGAAATATTTTCATGTATATACTGTATATAGATTTATATATAATTTATAATTTAAATATTTAATATATAAATAATATTTTTTCTTAAATATCCATGCATGTGTGTCTATTTATATATACAAAATAATTATACACAGTGCACCCACATATATTATGTAAACACAAACTTTTATTTTGGATGCAATTAATCGTTTGACAGCCCTAGAAAAAAGCTTACAGATTAGTATTCGCTTTAAATGACCATTGCAACACACACATGAAAACACAAAATCTCCACAGAGAGTTGTGTATTCTAATTACACATGAAACTAAAAGCCAGCACAACACAGTACTTGCTCAGATTATCCAATATAGTTCAGACTGCTTGGGGGATAGACATACAAACAAAAAACTGTTTAATCTCAATCGAGAGCGAAAGCAGCCCGGACGGGACGGATCTGTGTGGGCGCTCCATTAGCGGACTCAAGCCATGACCGCAATATTCCTAGAACTCCACAGGAAATCTCATCAAAGCATAGCAAGGAACTTTGAACTGCAGATTTAGGGTTGATTATAGTGACCTAGTTACAAGTTTCCTTGTAAGGGCATGCAGGCAGGCCAGAAAAACAAGAATCCTCTTAGACTTCTATGATGTGATTGCAAATATTGCAGATGATCACACAAATAAGACAACTAAAAAACAAGTGTTCTTCATAATAATAATAACAATGAAAAAGACTGAATAAAGGCAAAAGACAATAGCCATAAGTTATCAACAGGTTGGTAGAACAATTCTAATAGGTCTGTCAGCACTATTACACTGAAGATTTCAGAATAACTGTAGAAAAAAAGGGCAACTTTATGGCACAGTATATTTGTCCTCTCCCTCTGGAGCACTTATCAGAAGAAGGGCAACAGTCTGATCCTCTCAGCATCACTGTCGCTGTCCACTGCCCGTGGTGCTGGAGACAGACGCACTACACCTGACAGACTCAATGCAACCACACGCTTCACAAAGGAGATCTGGAGGTCTCGGTTAAAGTTCACACGCCGTACAGTCAGTAGCACGTACAGTCCTTCCTGGTTGTAAAAATGATTCTACAACCATTCATTTTAAGAAACTTCCGTGTAGCAGCTAAATTAGTCGTATGTGGTAAATACTTCCCACAATTCACCCAGCATGAGCTCTCTAAATCAATGAAATAGCTTTCCAGAAGAGAAAATGCTCACAATGTTGTAAACAAGGGAAAGAATCTAGCAGGACACATACCAAAGACACTGACACCTGGAGTGCAGAACTAGAATCTATATTCATCTTTAAACAGCCGGTGCATGTGGATCAAGTTCATGCCAATATGAAAAGAATCATGCATACAAACCCGAATCAGCCAACGTGTTATCTGTCAATCACACATGCTCTCCATCCAGCGTCAAACTAACCGCAGGAGCCGCTTGGCACATGAGCCAACAACAATAGAACAAAGTGTAAGTGCGGAGAGTGTAGGGAGAGATAAAGACCCCTCGTCCCCCCTCCTCTACACCTCCTCCTGTTCCCTCCCCATCCCTGCTGCCGATGCTTTATCTTTCTCCGCTCGCTCATGGAGAAGCGGGGCTTCATCAGCCGCAGGTACGCGCTTTACGCACCGCTTTACGCGCAGTCGTGCGCCACCGGCTGGCTCTCCAAACACTCGCAGGCACGACAGTCCTCCTTTTCGAACGGAAAACGTTCGATTGCATTGGGAAACAAATCGTTTTGTCGGATCTTTTAACATTGCGAATAAACTACGCGCACCAGTCATGCGTCTCCGAGTTTTGTATCGTATCGCATTTTAATTATTATTTTTTTTTTAAACGTGTTTACGACAGCTTCTGCACTCGAAGCATTCCGCCTTTAACGTGCGACTAAAACCGCGCGTTTTGGCGCGAATCTGAGGTCGTGCGGTGGTTGGATATGGACGTGTTTTTCTTTTGGGAGTGGCAGCGAAACACAATGGAGGCGCCGTGATCACTCGTAGAAGCGCTGGGAACAATGTGACGGTCGCTCACACGGGTGTTTTGCGACAAATCTGTGTCAACAGGAGGCAGGTTTACTGCTCTTGCCCCTCTCAGCCTCTGTCCTGTGGTTCAGTACCTGCAATGCTGCAGACAAACTGTTTTTCTCCTCTCTGCATTATGACAAATCAGGCCAGGCGGTGTGTGTCGTTCAGTGCCACGCACATAACGCGCTGGATGCGCGCAGTCTGAAGCTCCGTTTGACGAATGAGATCTCAACTCATAACCTTTGATCACTCTTTTTCAGCGTTTTTATATTCCTAAAGTTCACCTGACTAGGCTAATGTATAACACACTCAACATTGGGATTGCCTCAAATATATCTGGAGTGTAACTCTCTGATGCAGGGATGAATGTCACAAAGAAACACGAAAATATAAAATATCTTATTTTTTAGGATCTAGGACAAATAACCCCCCCCCCCCCCCCCATAAAACATATCATATCATTACTGTAATGTAAAACGATATCTTTAAATGGTTAAAAGTTAATACTGATTTAAAGTGAATTATTGTGTCCAGACTGGATGGTTTTAATTACTCCATTACAGTAATGGCAATCTAATGAGGACTATCATTGAGAATAATGAGAATTAAAATCACAGACACACTATGAAAATGATAATGAGGTTTTTTTCACATTAAAGTTGAGGACACTGGGGGAAATATAATATGCAAAATATATTTTTTTCTCCTGATACTGAGTGAATTTTAGTTTTGAGTTTTTCCCCTCCAGGCTTTTCGATATATACACTGAGTACAACCTTGAGATTTAGGAAAGGCAGTATAAAAATAATCCTTTTTTATTAAATATGACCTGGATATTTCTTTGTGAGATTCACCCTCAGAACACAATCAACAACAAACCATGATTTGATCACAGAACAAGTCCATATAGTCTTTATAACCTGATAAATATATACATATCCTGTAAGAGGTTTTTTTTTTCCACACTGGCAATGACAAAAGACATAAACATACACCATGAGTGCCTTTTATTCTTGTCTTTTTCAGCCTCATTTTTAAACCAAACATAACCTGGTTATAAAAGTTAGAAGGAGTCTCCCCTGTCTAACCCAGCAGATGTGGATGATAGTCGTCCTTGTAGACCTTAAGACGTTACAGAAGTATCTGGCCCATATTCAGGATTTGATAATACAAACCACAGGCCAAAAATAAAGAAGCAAATAAGAGCAGAGTCTATTCTTTTTAATTTCCCTTTAGACTAGGCAAACGCTACCTGGCCACTCAAAACAAATAGCTTAACAGCAGCCAAGTGTCCATTATGCACCTGCTAGTCATTTGAAACACAGCTTGAAGAAGTATCTGCCATCAGCCACCCAGAGATTTTTCAGACAAACATATGCAATGCACAAATTAAACATTTAGTATCCATTATGCATGAAATAGCATGTATTATATTCTAATTCCAAAATTTCATTACAGTGTTTTGCTGAAAATAAACAATACCAAATGATAAAAACAAAAAAAAACAAAGCAACACATGATGTAAGATAAATCAGAAACATACCGTCCAGTGAGAGCCAGTCGTGTTGAGAGGAGGGCAGGGCAGGGAGGGCACGGGCTTTATACTCAAACACCACTGAGTTGGAGATGATCTGACTGCTGGCTGCCACCTGCAGGGTCACCAGGCCCGTGTCATGAGCTTTGAAAGGAAATGAGACACAAATTAAGAGGGGTTACAGTTTCCACACGTTTGCAAACCATTTACAATGTTAAAGGAGTAGTTCACTTTTAAAAAAAACTTTTGCTGATAATTTACTCATCTCCATGTCATCCAAGATGTCCATGTCATTCTTTCTTCAGTTGAAAAGAAATGAAGGTTTTTGATGAAAACATTCCAGCATTTTTCTCCATATAATGGACTTCAATGGGAACCAAACGGTTCAAGGTTCAAAAGACAGTCTCAGTGCAAACTGCGAACTGTTCAAAGGGCTTTAAATGATTCCAGACGATGAATTATGGTCTTATCAAGCGAAACGATCGCTCATTTAATAAATAAATAACAAAGTTTAAGTTTTATAAGCTCAAATGCTCGCCTTGCTCTGTTCTGCGTTACCCTCCTGTTCGAACTCATCAAAATGAACGAAACTTTTCCGAGTCAATTCGTTCATTCGTTCGTTTGTTGAATGAACTAAATGACACAAAAAAAGATCCGTTCATTTTGATGAACGAGTTCGAACAGGAGAGTCACGAATGCGCATCACAGAACAGAGCAAGGCGAGCATTTGAGCTTATAAAACTTAAACTTTGTTATTTTTTTTTTAATGAGTGATCATTTCGCTTGATAAGACCCTTATTCATCGTCTGGAATTGTTTAAAGCCCTTTGAACAGTTTGAAGTTTGTACTGAAATTGTCTTTTGGACCTTGAACCGTTTGGTTCCCATTGAAGTCCATTGTATGGAGAAAATCCTGGAATGTTTTCATCAAAATCCTTAATTTCTTTTCGACTGAAGAAAGAAAGACATGGACATCTTGGATGACATGGGGGTGAGTAAATTATCAGCAAAAGTTTTTTTTTTTTAAAGTGAACTACTCCTTTAAGAGTGATGGCTCAGAGTATTTTTGTTTTTATTTATATATTTAGTTATGTAACAGTGGAATCTTAATGAGTTCTCTATGGCAGCTGTTAAAAACAGTCCTTTGTTTGTTCACAAAAGACCACATGATATATTAATGGACTACAGTATTGAAACTTAACACATGAAGGTCAAAATTTTTTCTTTTTCTTTTTTCAGCTTGGAGAAGATGTTGGTTTAGGATGATGATTTGGTTAGGCATACTGATTTTTTAAACTTTATTTGAGATGCTGAAATGCAGCAGACTCACACTTTCCCTCCAAAAGCACAATTTAAATGTGTGTGCAATGTGCATGCAGTTTGTATAAGTGCCCATGCTGAAATACCTGGGCAGTAGCAGCGTAGCACCCCGGGCTGGATGAGGGAGGCTGGAACTGTTATCTGATCAAACAGGCAGGTATATTCACTGCTGGCCTCCTGCCATGGACCGGTGATCAGAACCTTCACCCCACCCTGAGAAATATATACCAATAATGAGCCTTTTATATAACCTATTAAAGCTTGCAAAGGCAACAGCATCCCTGAGATTGGTTGTTTGCATTTACTGCATGCTTATACTGTCAGAATTTAGATCTAGATAATATTTTTGGGGTGTATTTTGGCATAAAAGTGCATTTATTTGTACAAGAAACAAATTAAAATGCATCTCTGATGATATACTAGGAAAATGTCGAGAGCTGAAGTGTTGTTCTGACATCCCTCTGTCTATGTTTGTCCGACTGCTTCCTTGCCAATAGGCATGATAATGACAGGCTGAGCATGTGTCTCATGTGGCCCAGGGGCCACTGGGACAAACAAATACGTCACTTGTTGTAGAGAAGACCTTGAGCTTTACATTCAGACCTCACAAGACTCAAATCTATTCCTGTATTAAGCAGCTTGTGGCTGATTTCCATATGAATACGAACTCCCCAGAATTAGAAAACGATCATTCCCCAATCCCTACATGTCCCTTGCCTATTGTTTGTTTATTATTAGCTACTAATAACAGAGTATTGTTCATTTTACAATCTTTAAACCCCTTCAACATAATCCTGAAGATTTTCCCACCAAATCTGTTAAAAAAATGCAGACTTTCTCTGGTCCTGCACATTTTCCCACATCTCTGCTGCCACCTGGTGGCCATTCTATCACACATCTACAGCAGGTGAAATGCCTTTTTTTTTTTTTTAGCTCTGCAGAAATGTAAATCACAAACTCACCTCAGGATAAGACCACTCTGGAGAATAGTCCGTCACCACAAACAGCCTTCCGGTAGCCTGTAACATTGCCATGTTCCCGTGTGCCACAGCTGCCGACACGGCCTCTGCCACCTGCATGTACGACAGCTGCCCCGCCTCGCCCGCCACCGCCCCAGCCTGCGTGGACTGCGGACTGCAACAGGGCTGCAGGCAGAGCTCTGAAGAATTGTACCCTCTCGCTCCTTCATCTGCACCTTGTTGCGCAGTGGTTCCAGAAGAGACCTGCCCCTCTGTTCCCGAATGGGTCATCAGCTGATGCCCGTAGAGAGCGCTGCCGCCCGGCACTACTGCCGCACCACTTCCGCCCTCCACCGAAATGAAGTCATTGATAAGATCGGAGAACTGATTCCCGAAGGAAACATCAAAATGGTCCAGGTTGATCTCCATGGAGCCTCCTCCATTGGTTCCACTGCTCCCCAGGCTCTGGTGGGCTCCTACGGTGCTGAACAACCCCTGCACCAAACCGGCTCCTTGCAGGAGCGGCTGAAGCTGTTGATGGGGGCTGTTGGTGGTTCCGTTTCCCTCCGTGTTGTTGCACAAAGTTCCACTTTCAGCCCTTGCGCTCGTTCCTCCAGATCCCTGGCCGACTCCACCAGCTTCTGTTGGCTGCTGAAGGTAGTGCTCTGCGGCTCCTACACCCTCGGGTTCTCCTCCTCTACCAGGCTGTGCCATCAAGCAATCCGAGTCCTTCTCTTGGACGCCGCCTCCGCCTCCTTGTTCTGCTCCTGCTGGCTGTTCCAAACCACCCACTTCTTCATGCTCCTGGCCTGCGGTCGGGAAGCGGTTCTGGTATTGCAGGAGCTGGAGCGACCCGGCCTGTCCATTCCGTTCACTTGGAGAGCCACCATTGCAGTTAGCGGCAGTGTGCTGGCTGGGGTGTGTACGGTGATGGAGATGTCCGTTGGTTCCCGTGGAGTCTGTCTTGACGAGACCCATGTAGGCATTGGAGTCGTGGGAGTTCTGTGTCGGACCGGAGTTGTTCTGGTGCGTTTGGGACTGCGGAGAACCTTGCAGAAAGAAGCTGGGGGAGTGACCCTGGTTGGCCAAGTGAGAGCTGGAGATAGCTTGTCCGTAGCCTCCTGCTGACATAACACTGGACGGGTAGTCTTGCTTGGCATCAATGGCGCTGAAATCCATCTGCTCAAGGGTGGTGCTGGGACTGAGTCCACCTCCAGACGGCAGCAGTGAACCGGTGGGCGTCAGAGCCAGAGAGTTTTGTGCAGAACCACCGCTTGAGGAACCAGAGATCCCGACGGCATCGCTCACCACTTCTCCAACCTGATAGCCACCCTCTTTAGCCAACTGCTGTTCAAACGACGTGTCCTCCGTCTTGATGTTCTTCACCAGAGAGGGGTTAAAGACGTAACCGTTGTCGTTGAGAGGCGGAGAACACCGCAGTCCGCCGTTACTGCAGCTGCTCCTGTTGCCCTCCTCGGTTTTCAGCCCATTTCCCCCATAGGTCTGACCTTGCTTGGGGTTGTTGAGGAAGCAGTCGGGGTCAAAGTTCATGTTAGTCTCGGGCAGCTTGATATTCCCAGCTTCCAAGTTACTAGACAGCACCAGTTCTTCAGACACGCTGGCCGTGGACAGCATAGCGAGTTCGTCCGTGGACCCTGCATCCGCCAACCCTACTCCCACTGCTCCAGCAAAGGCAAACTTGTGACTGTCGGCGGTCACCGCTAATACTAGACTGCTAGAGGCTGTGTCTGCACCCAAGAGGTGAGCGTTGGGGTCTACAGTGGGAGACATGCTATAGACAGGGTCTTCGGACATGAACACAGTGGCGGACTGAGACAGGCTGTTCATTACCGAGGCTACGTGGCCCATTCCTGTCACCACGGGACTGTCGGCCATGTCGGGGTCAGAGTTTAGCCCGCTGCTGATGGAGACGGGTGAGCTCTGGGTGGTATCTGGCACTTCCACCTGGTTGGTTGAGGACACCTCCATGCTGTTCTGGTGGAGCAGCGCCGGCTTGTGCACCTTTCCGTTCCGTTTCTCTCGCCCGCCGGTTCCCCCAGCACCGTCGCCCCCCGCCCGGCCATTTTTGCTCCCGCCGTGGCTGTGCTCCGTCTTTCCCTCGGACACGTCGTTGTTCTGAACCTCGGAGTGGGTGCTGCTGTAGGCACTCCCAGTGCGAGGGTCCACTTTCGGGGAGATGATCCGGTGTTTGGCACTGTTGCATTTGTGATGAAGGCTGCTCCCAGCACCTACAGAGAGCAGACACATTTTAGGTCGTTAGAGTATGAATGTAACCACTGAAAAAACATGCATTTATAAATATTTTATTGACTTTTGATTAGGACTGACAAACGATTAATCGCATCCAAAATAAAAGTTTGTGTTTACATATACATGTATATATAAATACACACACATGCTTGTATATATTTAAGAAAAATATATTATTTATATATAAAATATTTAGATTTATATATAATATAAATTATATATAAATCTATATATATTATATACATGAAAATATTTATTAAATATATACAAGCATGTGTGTGTACTTATATATACTGTATATAAAATATATCCAAGAGAGCAGACACATTTTAGGTTGTTATAGTATGAATGTAACCAAAATGTAATGTAAAAAACATGCATTTATAAATATTTTATTGACTTTTGATTAGGACTGTCAAACGATTAATCGCGATTAATCGCATCCAAAATAAAAGTTTGTGTTTACATAATATATGTGGGTGCACTGTGTATAATTATTTTGTGTATATATATATATATATATATATATACACACACACACATGCATGTATATTTAAGAAAAATATATTATTTATATATAAAATATTTATATATAATATAAATTATAAATCTATATACATGAAAATATTTATAAAATATATACAAGCATATGTGTGTGTATTTATATATATATAAAATAATTATACACAGAGCACCCACATATATTATTTAAAAACACAAACTTTTATTTTGGATGCGATTAATCGTTTGACAGCCCTACTTATGATTCATGGAAAGAGCTGGCCCTCTGTATCCCACATAAATGCTAAATGCTAATGATGATTAAATTATGTGCTAATGATGATTAAAATTATGCTTAAAACCTCGTAATAAATAAGATTAAAAAAATATTACATGATTAAAACAGAAAAAGTTTATTTAAATAAATAAATAAACATAATATATATATGAATATAGAAATGAAGAAAAAAATACATTTTACTTAACAGATAAACATAATACAAAAAATAAAAAACAATAATGTTCAGTAATGTCCGCCATGACTTACAGTATTTGTGATGTGGTGTATAAAAAAAAATCACTTGACAAGTTTTGCTTATCTATCTATCCATCTATCCATCTATCCATCTATCTATCTATCTATCTATCTATCTATCTATCTATCTATCTATCTATCTATCTATCTATCTATCTATCTGATTTCAGGGAAAATTAATGCATTGGTTTCATAATATATAGATCTTTTTTGTTTAATGTAAATGAGATTACTGTGTTCTATGTGTAATGTTTGGTGGAGTACTCAACTTACAGTAATTTTACTCGACTCAATAGTGCCATCAACTGGCCATAATCTATACTGAACCTGAAATGTTCTCAGTAATCTTGCATGTCAACAGCAAAGTCCAAATTTTAATAATAAATTGGCAGATTTATTTTGTATGGGAAAATGATAAACTATACATTCATAGAGTTAAATCCCTGTAAGATAAATTGCTTAATGACTGAAACCCAGATGACTCTTTATAGAAGGAAATTAGTATAGAATAATAGGTCTATAGCATAGAATAATAAAATAAAGAATTTGATGAGAGATATTTCATATGTGTTCATATTGAAATCTCTGACTTTTGGTTACAGAGTTATAAGATATGTTTGAGAGTGTTGAGTCTTTTATTCCCCTTGCCACTGGTGCCTTGGCTTTTGGCCTGCTTGGTTGGGGACATTTAATATTCAACAATATTACTGATCTGTGTTGTATTATTTTCATGTTATCACTGTGAAGCTGCTTTGATACAATCTGTATTGTAAAAAGCACTATATAACTAAAGGTGACTTGACTAGACAAATCTGAAAGGCAGGATGCTCTTCGTTGAATGCCTATAGGAGAAACAATTGAGAAATGACAGAGTTGTGATTTGACGCCCGTTCCCTTACCCAGGTTTCCCGTGCAGAGGCAGTTGTGGGTCCGGGGAGGTGGCTTGGTCTGGTGGCTGTCCAGTATTTGCTGCACGAGCTGCTCTGCTGAGAAGCCAGTGCTGCTATTCCCATTGCTGCAAGTCCACTTGATGCCATGAACTGCCGGGAGAGAGAGGACACAGACGTCAGCCAGACAGCCACACAGACCAGCACCTCGCCAGCACTACTGACACTGCAGGGGAGAGAGCCCGACTGCCCCACTCGCACTCATCACGGGCACAATCCATCTAATGGACAGTGATCTGCCTTTTCCTACAGAAACGTCTGTGGTTGAAGCGTCTGTTGATTATTATTCTGACTCGACTCTCAGTTTGCACTAACCGTGTGTTTGCAGTTTTGCACTTGCAATGAAAGTACGTGGCAAAACATTCCGGAGGTTTTAAAATCAGAAAAACTAAATAAAACCACGAAGCCGGTTTAGGCCAGGTATATTTCAGTTCAGTTTGCGCCAACCCTGGGTTTTCAGCTTTTAGCGGTGTTTATCGCCAATAGAAACTTATGATCCAGGACTAACCTGCTCCGGGACAGGTTATGTTCTGGTAAGAGAGCTCAAGCCGAAATCGGACCAATCAGCTGTGAGCAAAGTGACACATCTCTGACGCAATAAATGTGTTCCCGCTATGGCAAGCAGTTTTACTTTTAATCAATCGCAGGAAATTAAATCTTTAATATAGTAACAATACAATTTTCTGTTAAAATTCTTGATATCAGGGATGAAATTTCTACTAGTAAAAATGTGAATTCTTAATTTCAACAATTGAGTTCTTGATTTTTAAATTGAATTTTTACTAGTTAAATGTCACCATAGGCTGCCATTAAAATTAAATTGCTGATATCAAGAATTTATTTCTTACTAGTTACATATCAGAAATGAAATTAGTAAAAATCAAAATGTTTGATATCAATAATTACTTTGTTTCTAGTAAAAATATAAATTCCCGATATCAAGAATTCAATTCAGTTGAATTTTCAATATGTTGCATTTGTTATTTCTGAGATCTAAAATTGTATTTCTGATATCATTAACTGAGTAATTTTAGATATCTAACATGTCTTTCTTACTAGTAACAATCACACTCATGATATCAGAAACTAACATTGTGACACTAGTGACAATCAAATTATTGATATCAAAAATGAAAATTATTAATAGCAATTCAGTTGTTGATATATATTAGACATTTGCACTAGTAACCACAATTACTGATATCAAAAATTATGATTTTTTTGTAAGAATTATTTCTGATATGTGAAATTGGAATTTCAACTAGTAAGAAATGAATTCATTATATTAACAATTGGATTTGAATGGCAGCCTATGGCGACATTTAACTTGAAAATACAATTACAGATATCAAGATTTATAGTTTTAACTAGTTGAAATTTAATGTCTGATATCAAGAATAAGCATTTTAACTAGTGAAATTTAAATTGTTGATATCAAGAATTCAAATCCTGGTAATGAATAAAAGTCAAAACGGCTTGCCATACTCAGTTTCTCTTGTACATAACTTTTAACATAGTAAATATTCTATGAAATTGTCTGGCTTTTAGTGATGATTATTTCTTGTAACGATTTTATATATTTCATTTAAATATTTTACCCTGAATTTAGTTTAGATGAACAAAATTATATACAGATAATTTGTTATATGTCCGAGTCTCTGTCTGTATACATATACTGTCTATTATCAACTTTAAGTTTCACTTGTGCTTCTTATTGTTCTTTTTGTGTAAATTAATTTACATACGTCATATTCTCCAATCTCTTAATCTTTGGCAGAAGAGAGAAAATAATTTAGCTGAGTCTGACTCTCGCAAGAGGTAAAATGCAGTTTTTCTGTTTCAAAGCATGAAAAAGAGAAAGTTTATGGTACCAACAAAGCCTGACTGCATTGGTTTAGTTTTGTTTACTTGAAACTAAAACTGTAACCCAGAGTTATATAGCTCGTATTGAACCTGGAACATTCCTAAAGTGCCAGAAAAAAAATGCTTTACTTCCTTTGAAATCTCGAGACAACTGTGAGGTGACTGCAGGGAAACAGGTGCTGTTTCAGATCACCCAAACCAACGTGGCCAGTCTAATAAAGCAAAGCAGTTCAACCCTGACATCTGCTGGACATGTTCAGGTACTACAGCTAAATAACAGGCGATCAATAAATGGTTTATGTTACAAGCTTGAGTCAAATAAGGGTTTACTCTATCTATGCTGTTTCATGTGCAGTATGTTCCAGTAATGAGGCCCTGGGTGCTGCTTTAATGAGATGAACATCACAGATCTATATGAGCAGAGTGACAGTTACTAAAGCCATCTTGTTTGCTTCTTCTAATGTTGATAGAAAACACTGCATGGAACCGTGCACTTCATCTACTGAGAGCATAATTTTTCATCTTTCAGTCCAGAAATAAACATCACAGTCATCTGACACAATCCAATTAGGGACACTCAGAGAAGAACTTCATGATTTCAGTCAATACAAATCAGATTGTCTCAGAGAGGGAGAGAGAGAGAGAGAGAGAGAGAGAGAGAGAGAGAGAGAGAGAGAGAGAGAGAGAGAGAGAGGGAGAGAGGGAGAGAGAGAGAGAGAGAGAGAGAGAGAGAGAGAGAACAGCTGCTTACATACATATATATATATATATAGCATATATATATAATCTAGATATAGCATATATCTATATATAGCATATGTATGTATGTATGTACTGTATATGAAGAGTTCAGATGCAAAAGCCTCTAAATGCTATTTGAAATTTTCTTCTAAAATGATCATTTTTATCAAACTTGTATATTTAAGTTCAGTAATTTCACTTAAATGGCAATGATAATTACCTATTAATTGTTATTTAAGTGAAATTACTGAACTTAAATATAAAAGTTTGATAAAAATCATCATTAAAGAAGAAAATTTCAAATGGCATTTAGAGGCTTTTGCATCTGAACTCTTCATATATATATATATATGTGTGTGTGTGTGTGCATATTATAGTATTTTGCTTATTAAACTTTTGTTAAGCACATTTCACCCTTAAATTCTCATTCTGATATTAAAATGAATAAATAACAAACAAAAAAAGAGTTTACAGTATTGAAATTATATACATCTTTGTTCTAAATTTAATTGATGGGTGACTTTATATATATATATATATGCATGTAAGCAGCTGTTTATATATATAATATAAATATAATATAATTAAGAATCAAATTAAAATCATTTATAATTTGATTATTTATATATATATATATATATATATATATATATAAGAATCAAATTAAAATCATTTAGAATAATCAAAATTACATAATAACTCAAAGGAAACACATCCAGACACATTAAAGTATGGAGTCTGACATAACATAAAATAAGCTCAATGTTTAAGTGATGTTGACATTCTTCCGCTGACATGTTAAGATATTTTTTACCTGAATCACACACACATCTAACCAGACCAGAATACCCTTTTTATGCCCCAGTGCATATATGGGCAACATATGATCTAAACAGCTCGGATCATTCAAAATTCATGAGTGGTGAGAGCTTAAATCTTTGAGTTCCCAGACTTCCCACCCTGCGACGTCCACCTGTCCCCAGTAGGTGGCAGTGCCACTCCATCACTGAGCTGCACTCGCCGAAGGTCATTCAAAGAGATGATGATGATGTGAGAAGCGTTCTCCTGCCCTTTCTACCACATCATGAAGTTAATGACTCATTGATGTGTGTTAAGATTTAAAAGTCACTCTAACATTACATTACTGTGAATGTACAGAGAATGTGAACACGGACGCGCTCTTAAACTACTGGTTTTGTGAAGTTAAACGCACAGGAGAGACCAGAGGAGGGGTGTCAAAATGATCTGGATCTTACCCTGGCATGCATGTGTAGTTCAGATGCAGAACTAAACGGTATTTGGACACTTTAAAATGTCTGAATGTCATACAAAATATGAAGGCAAATGCCACTTGTTTCTGAGATGTTATTATCTAATCATGCAATGACATTCAGATATTACAAGTGTGACTTAAAGGGTTAGTTCGCCCAAAAATGACTCACCCTCGTGTCGTCCCAAGCCCGTCAGATCTCTGTTCGTCTTCACAGTTTAAGATATTTTAGATTTAGTCTAAAGTCGTGTCTTACGTCAGCAGCGTCACTGAACGCGGATCCACAACAGAACCGAAGACAATACAATGATGAATAAAGTCGTAGTTTTTGTTATTTTTGGACCAAAATGTATTTTCGATGCTTCAAAACATTGTAACTAACCCACTGATGTCACATGGACTACTTTGATGATGTTTTTATTACCTTTCTGGACAAGGACAGTATAACATACACATTTACAATGGACGGACAGAAAGCTCTCGGACTAAATCTGAAATATCTTAAACTGTGTTCTGAAGATGAATGTCTGACGGGCTTGGGATGACATGAGGGAAAGTCATTAATGACATCATTTTCATTTTTGGGTGAACTAACCCTTTAAAATAGCATGTAGATACAGATTAATCCTGTGTAATGGTCTCAGCTGTAACTTTGTTTTTTTCTATATTAATAAACAGTCTATAAATGTAGTTTAACACTCACACATGGGTTTGAGCTGCCCGATGAGCTCTTCCTTGGTCCATTTGGCCCATTCCTTCTTATCTGTGTTGATGGAGCACAGGATGGGTCCACACGGTTTCCCACAATCCTCTATGGCGGGCACGTTCAGGTAGTGGACCAGCACAATGTCAGGGTTCTAAAGAGAGAGAAAAGAAAGAGATGATGAGATGAAAGAACGTATATAATGAGGGAAGAAGGACGTTGAGACAAGAGCGAGATGAAATTGACACAAAAGGAGAACAGCGACAGGACCGAGTTTCTGCTCAAAAGAAAGTCCGAACATTTTATTGATTGGGTCCATGGAGAAGATTTAGGAAGCATGCCTTGAATAAAATGTGTTAAACCATGGACACTGCAAGAATATTTGCAATGGTGCTCTCACATACTCACATTTCTTCAACTTCAGGGATTGATTTTTATTATTAAAATATTGTTGGTTTAACTTAAAAAATTGAAGTAACCTGGTTGCCTTAAAATTTTAAGTTAATTAAAATGGAAAAATGTTGAGTTGATACAACGAAGGAGATTGATTTAATCAACAGAAACTCAAAATATTATGTTATCTGAACGACATAAATTATTTAAGTTGATTTGACAACTGCAAAAAAAAATATTTTCATGATTTCTAATCACATTTTTATTTTTGTCAAATCAACTTAAATAATTTATGTCGTTCAGATAACATAATATTTTTGAGTTTCTGGTGATTAAATCAATCTCCTTAGTTGTATCAACTCAATTTTTCCATTTCAATTAACTTAAAATTTTAAGCCAACCAGGTTACTTTATTTTTTAAGTTAAACCAACAATATTTTTTTAGAGTGATGATGTGATTACAAATCATGAAAAGATTTTTTTACAGTGTAGATGAACATATTTGTTCATTTAGATAAACGAGTTTGAACAGGAGAGTCACGGACGCACATCACAGAAGAGAGCAAGGCGAGCATTTGAGCTTATAAAACTTAAACTTTGTTATTTATTTATTAAACGAGTGATTGTTTCGCTTGATAAGACCCCTATTCATCGTCTGGAATCGTTTAAAGCCCTTTGAACAGTTTGCAGTTTGCACTGAAACTGTCTTTTGGACCTTGAACCGTTTGGTTCCCATTGAAGTCCATTATATGGAGAAAAATCCTGGAATGTTTTAATCAAAAACCTTCATTTTTTTCAACTGAAGAAAGAAAGACATGGACATCTTGGATGACATGGGGGTGAGTAAATTATCAGCAAAAGTTTTTTTAAAAAGTGATCTACTCCTTTAATTACACAGTATTTTCCGGGCTGTAATCTAAACTAAAGCATTACCATTTTTTAATTATAAATAGAGATTTCCGCTTTTCCTCCCAAACGCAGATTTGTAACCATAAACTATAAAAGAATCATCATAAAACAGGAATTTATAAAACAATGCACATCTAAACAGACTAAACATTTATGGTGTGAAAATTATTATAAGGTTTTCTTACACAAATTACGACTGTCAATAAGTCGTGACCTCACTTCCACCACAACCAAGAGTTTTATGTTAAGTGTTTACTGCACTTGCTAATGAGACAAGTGTCAGTGAGTCTCAAGTAGCCCGAGCATGGCATCTGGTATCAAGATAACAGTGGACCGTAACAGCGACAAAGGTTTGCTACACTGATTCAGCATCTATTTATAATGATGCTTTACATCATAGAGGACATTTAATTGGAAAGAAAATATGATGAAAACCTGAAATGATCAAAATCATTGATCCATATTGGCAGGAGTAAGAGACTGTGAGTTTTGCGTATTTTGTCATTGTTTTGGAGTGCACTAGCTACAAGATAACCTCTAACATATTCATACTAAAAGCCAAAAAACTTTAATTTTGATTTCATGGGGACTTTAATAAATAAAAACGTGTGTATTAAAAGTGTGTTTTACAGAAGTCCACAGGGCAGAATTTGCATACAGTTAAAGAAACACCCACATGAGCATCCATAGAGGAAGTGAAATTAACCCATGCAATTACAACTTCATCGAAACACACACCCCGGAGAATCCGAGCCACGGCGGAGGAGCAAACGCGTTAAACGTCGGGTCTGCGAGTTGTTTTGCGTTCGGTGGCATGGAGGTGGGAGTTGTTAATTGGCAAGCGTGCGTGAAAACACAACAGTCTCCCATTCTTCGCCCGAACTCCCCGGAGCAGATGCCCCCAATTAACTTCCAAGTATTTACCAACATCAAAACACCGGCTCAGAATTACGGCCATAAATTATCCTAATTGACAGCGTAAGAGTAATAGGTGTTGTTTAAAGCTCAGTCGTGGGTGTGAAGGGGAAACGTGGAGAAATCCAGCAAACCGTAGCTCACAGATACACCCAACGGACACGACTGATACATGTAGCTAAACCAAACACAGAAACAGCCAGGAGTGTTGAGCATTTTCTGCTCATTTATAGCCAAGAAAGTAAGAGCGATGGAGAAACTGAGTCAGGATTAGTTAAAGGAGTGGTTCACTTTTTTCTTTCCCTTCATGCACATGTGCTTTTACTCAACCCCAACTATAAACTATTAAAGGTGATTAAAGGAGTAGTTCACTTTAAAAAAAACTTTTGCTGATAATTTACTCACCCCCATGTCATCCAAGATGTCCACGTCTTACTTTCTTCAGTCGAAAAGAAATGAAGGTTTTTGATGAAAACATTCCAGGATTTTCTCCATATAATGGACTTCATTGGGAACCAAATGGTTAAAGGTCCAAATGAGAGTTTCAGTGCAGCTTCAAAGAGCTTTAAATGATTGCAGACAATGAATAAGGGTCTTATCTAGCGAAACGAGCGGTCATTTTAAAAATAAATAAAAAAGTTTAAGTTTTATAAGCACAAATGCTCGACTTGCTCTGTTCTGTGATGCGCGTTCGTGACTTTCCTGTTCGAACTCGTTCTTCAAAATGAACAAATCTTTTTTCGAGTCATGACTCGAAGGGTCCTAGATAAGACCCTTATTCGTCGCCTGGTGTCGTTTAAAGCCCTTTGAAGCTGCACTGAAACTCTCATTTGGACCTTGAACCGTTTGGACCCCATTGAAATCCATTATATGGAGAAAAATCCTGTAATGTTTTCAACAAAAACCTTCATTTCTGTTCAACTGAAGAAAGAAAGACATGGACATCTTGGATGATATGGGGGTGAGTAAATTATCAGCAAAAGTTAGTGAACTACTCCTTTAATCACCACTAGTTTATAGTTGGGGTTGAGTAAAAGCACATGTGCATGAAGGGAAAGGATGGTACGGGTTCTCTGACAGAGAGAAATGTGGCAGCAGCAGCAGCTTGAGCCATTTTTGAAGCTTTGTCAATGTTAAACTGTCAATAAATTTCCCCTGCTGCCACTTACTTACCTTCTCTATCAATCTAACTCCACGCTTTTTCTCCCGAAACTCGGCTAATCGATGAGATACGGGCCAGAGACTTTAAAATCAGTTCCTTTTGTCTTTGCATCACCTTTGGCTTTTAAACAGAGTTCTTCAGCGTTCTTGCCCGGAAGAGTTAGTACGTCTCTCTCAGGCTCCGTGAAAGATGGAATCAACTTTTCCTTTCTCAGCGTCTGTCCGACGGCTCCATTAGCATTTTAATATTGCAGCGTTGGCGACCAGATGGGAGACGGAAAAGAGCTAACACATTCAGGGATGCATATTTCAAGGTGTTTGCACAATACCTTTGGTAGATTTAAGGAAAAAAAAAAACTCGCTGATTTCATCAAAGTCTCAAACAAGAGAGAAATTGGATTGCATTATTTCATTGCCCTTTGAATGCACTATTTTACTGTTTTGTGCTAAAACTTCCACGCCAGCACTCACTGTTTTTATGAGCAAGAACGTTCTGGAAAGGGGACGTAGTTGCTCAAATGTGTCAAACGTAACCTAATATGTGCAACAGAAGGGCCTCGCGTAGAATTCCGTCGCAAATGCCTGATGCAAAAATGCAAATTTGATTGTCAGGTTTTATGAAATTTCAGGGAGTCACATAATCAGGTTTCGTTCGGCAAAAGGTGGATTCGAACGCGAGCCGATTTGCGTCACAACTTTCAGCCACACGACTTATCTCTACACTATTGCGTTAACTATCCAGCATCTTCCAAGATTATATCTAGCCCTACCAGAGTTAGATCCTGTTTTTTTTCACATTTTCAGTACTAATGTATTATGAATGCAGTATGAACTCGTTCATATTTTGGGCGAACGTGAACTGAACGTACTGTATTATTGGCTGATGAACGATACTGTGAACGCGTTTATTCTGGTGTCTGTGAACGCACGCTCTCTCAGTTTAGCTTTGTACAATAGGGTGCCAGATTTCTATAGAGCCTTCCAGTCGTAAAACACACATAAACAGGCGTTAATATGTAGCGAAAAAACACCCAATCTGGCAACGCCAGCCATCAGTGTCGCACCGAGGCCGCCGCATGCGTCATCAAGACAAGAAGCAGCATGTAGTCGACAAAGCATCGAGGAGGCGTCGTATCGAATGTTCAGTTTTAAGACGAGGTCGGTGAGGATGGGAAAAATCGTATATCTCTGTGCAAACTTTGCCCGCCGATAAAATAAACAAAGCTATCTCACGACCAATTCGTACGAATTCGTACAAGTGATTAAAAAGTGGCAAATTCGTACTAATTCATACGACCTCACTCGTACGAATTCGTACATTTGTCTAAACCCACGTGATGGGTAGGTTTAGGGGCGGGGTCAGGGGAAGGTCATTCGTACAAATTCATACGAATTTGCCAACTCGTAAAATATGTACGATTTAGCAAAAATCTTACTAATTCGTACGAGTGAGGTCGTACGAATTTTCACGAATTAGCCACCTCGTAAATTTCGCACGGTTTCCTGTGAGATCGGGTTGAAATAATTGCATGGTTGTATATGGGTTGTGGCAATAATAATAAAAAACAGTGAACTAGTTAATTTTTTGGAACCATGAACTTATCTCACAATTGTGAACTATGAATGAACTATGAATTTGTGAACTGAACTTTGAACTAGTTCATGTAGAAAGTGAACTTTCCCAACACTGTATGAATGTATTTAAACATTGTGAAATGTGTTACTTTAATCAAATTGGCCAAAATATTTCATATAAGAAAACACAAAATGGATGTG